AAAAAAAAAAAAAAATAAATAAATAAATAAATTAGGAAAAGAAAAATGACAGAATTTTGAAAGAAATGAATTAAAATATGATTGAATAAGGAAAATTTGACTTTTTTAAAAAAGGAAATTAAAGAAATTTAAAGAGTAAATGAAGAAAAAAATGAAAAAAGTTAAGAGAATTTGTTTACGAACATACACAAACTATCCTATGTTTAAGAACATAAACGAGCAACAAGTCTGAGCCGAACCGGAGTTGTTCATTAACATTTTGGTTCATTTATAGCCCTGCCTCTCACTATATGTGCAATAAGAAATATTATTCGGTTCAAAAATTGAACTCAGCCGACTCAGGTCCGTCGTACCAATCTCCCTTAAGTAAGAATAAGATAAGAAACAAATCGCAACTCTGACATTCATGCATTGAATGAGATGAATTTCAGCTTAAAAATCACAAAATGTCACGATTACCGATCTAATAAGTATTCATGAACCAACAAATTGCATGATTGATCAAGACTGACACATGGCACACTTGTTGTAGAGACAGCTGGCTGATTCTATACATAATATGCTAGGTTGTTGAGAATGCGTATGCCTAAAGGTTGAGGCCACCCACAATTAAGTCCAAGTGACTCACACTACATGGACATGCACACGTACGTGCATAGAGACAAATTGTCGTGCATGCATGACTATTGTCACAAGAGCCACTGAGAATATACATATTATTATTATTATTATTATTATTATTATTATTATTTGCATTACATATTATTAATCATTATTATTCATGACCCACATTTTATCATGACATAAAACTATACCATACAGCTTGGACATTACGTGGATAGGGTTCCTCCATCCATTATTGCTTGCTAATCCGGACAACAAATCCCATTCAAAACCCTAACTTTTGCGGACCTGATTGATAGCTTAAGTACTTGCAATGAAAGCTCTGTCTGACCAAACCGTCTCTCTCTCTCTCTCTCTCTCTCTCCTTCTCCTTCAAACCCATCGTCTCTGATATTTTTTTCATTATTGGTTTTGAGTCAGTGAAACCTTCTCTATCATTTAGGAATTAATGAGAAATAAACTAACCAACTAAATCAAAAGAAAATGACCAGTACAAATGGATAAGAAGACATCACGTGGGGTTGTGGTCATTCCAACGAATGGATAAGAAGGGATCACGTGGTTGCGATGGTATCAACACAACTACACCAGATTCTATCAAAATTTTACAGTTTAATGTAGGGGTGCTCTGCGATCGTATCCACATAAATTCTAATTCAATCCGCTTTCAAATAATAGAAAAAATCTTAATTCATAGAATGACGGATTGGATCCACAGATTGGGATTTTTTCTTAAAGTATCATTTGTCCAATTTTATTTATTTTTTAACCATAGTGCAATACATAAAATTTCAATTTATCAACATTAATTCATATATTTAAATGATCTTTAACTAATACATTCTTAGATTTTTTTAAATGATTAATAACTAATTAAATTAACTAAAACATTCTTTGAATATATATATATATATATATATATATATATAAATCTCGCGGATCAGACCGGATCAGATTGGATTTTAACAGTCCAATTCGTGAGTTACAGATTCAATTTTTTTTAATTCGCCATCGATCCGTGGGTATAGCAATCTGATCCGATTCGATCCACACAATTTGGATCAAATTCAAGGATTATTTGTCCATCCCTAATTTAAGGTGCTTTGGCCGAGTGAAAGTAGGATGGGTGACCCTTTAGAAGTCCTCTTGCACTCCTTTTTTCTAATTTTTTATTTTTTAAATTATATAACAAGATGATACTCTGTGAGACTCATTCGTTAATATTTTTATTAGTAGTTAATCTTTTAATCAATTGTGATCCGAAAGTGACAAGTTCGAAATCGAAAATATAACTCTCCTCAAATCTTGTAATAGTGAGTGTCTCGTGCACTGTGCTAGCTCTATCTTTTGCATCTAGTAGCAATTGTGAGTTGCCAGGTGAAAAAGTAGATAGTTAATATAGTTAAATTTTATAAGACCTTGAAGATTCATCTTAATTACTTGAATATAACAAATTTTTTAATGTGAAAAACCTTAACGAGTAAAAATAATTAACTACGGAGATTAGTCGTCTCGGACAAAACAATCCACTGTCTTGAAGCAAGGTTACACAACTCTGTCTTAGTCTTCTCTTGGTACACTCTACCAAATCTAGTTGTTGAACATTCCAATTTGACTCTTGTGACTCCGTGTTCAGTTGTTGCTCAGTCTTACCCCTCAAACCTTAAAGATGTGTTTTATTTTTTCTGATAATTAACCTTAAAGATGTGTTGCTGGAAGAACGTACATGAATGCTTCCACTCGAGAACGCAAAGATGTAAGGAAGAAAATTAGCTATTACTTATCATTAATACAAGGTGAACTCTAAAGAAGAACATCACCCTTGTTTGAAATAAAAGAATGGAAAAATATTACAACGTATATTGTAATGAATTAATAAAAATTACATAAAAGTCTTATATATAGGAGAAAGTTTTGGAGTAGGTGAGTAACGAACAAATAACCTATATATAGTAAAATGATAAGTGTAATCATATATGCTAATTTGTAATATGCAAGAAACCTAGGTAATAGGTAAAAAGTTAAACTTGTAATATAACAGTTCCCCTCATGAAACTTAAGGTGAGTATGAACCCAACTTGAGATTGAAGACAAGATCATGAAAGCAGCCTAATGGAAATTTGGTAAAGGTGGGTTTTCACCTATAATGTAAATGGAGGCACGATTAACACTTGACAGTTGTCGTGCCACAACTGCTGGCACTGTTAGTGGCTGTGTCTGACATGACAGTTATCGTGGCTGGTGACGTGACAGTACTATTAGTACCGTTGCTGGTTGTGTCTGACATGGCAACTGTTGTGGCAGGTGACGCACTACTATTGAACCGTTGTTTGCTGTGTCTGAGGATGGAGCACTGATGAGGCGAAATTATGGCACTATTGCCGTGAAACTGTGATGATGTGTCATGGAGGCTGATTGGATAACCAAATAAGGCTTTTGTAAGTTGATTCTGAACTTGAGATTGAATGTTAGAATACGGAAATATAAGTTTGAAGGTTAATCGCCGTCGAGAATTGGGGCTGATGGTGCCACTCCTAGCATTGACTACGATAAACTGGTAAATTATTTACCATAGATCGAAAGATTCTGATACCATATTAGAAATAAAATAATAAAAAATATATTATATTGTATTGAATTAATAAAGTTTACATAAAGGTTCTAATCGTTCTTAATAATTCCATAAAAATTAGAGTCGAACCGTGAAACCAATAAAACAGAACCAAACTAAAAAAAAAAAAAAAACAGTTTAGTTCAATTCATTTCACATTTCTAAAGTTTTTTATAATTTAATCTAATATATATCTATATAATTAAACATTAAAAAATAAAAAATAAAAAAAATGAGGTTACCATCTACTGAGTGGTCTCTTCTGTGAAAACAAAACCCGTGATCAGCAGCCGCAATTTTGCAATAACAAATGTTAGATAAATGAATTTTGAGACATTGAGAATCTTTCTTTAGCTACACAAAAATAGATGACGTTCTGAAGAGGACAACCATACCTTTAATCATACATGTCGGGACACATACATATAATAACGTATGTATATATATATATACACACACTAACATATAGAATTGTTCCTACGAAATACGTTCTGTTAATGTTTGTTTAGTCGTAGACACATCATAACGTCAATCAAGTCTCTCTTTCTGTTGACGTGTGATTTTATGTCTTTTGTCAATGATTAATAATTTCACACAAATACCTTTCAAACAAAAATAATAATTTCACGGAATACAACATATTCAACAGAGGATTGCGAGACCGACACTCAAAAATAACTTTATGTGATTAAAATTGTTTATGTAATTAAAGATGTATGTCATGATAATGTCATTAAATATTTTTAATATAATGATAATGTATTATATCAAACGTTATTTACATAAAATAATTCTCCATTATTAATCTAATTAATAAGGGTTGTTATTAGATTAATTATTTAAATAATAATTTGATAATTTTTATTAATATAGGTTGTCAATTTGACTTGATTGTAATGCTCTCATTGGATTGTTTAATTTATTTTTTACATGGATTTATTATATATAAAGATTATTCGATCCAGAAACAGCCTCCCATGCAGAGGTAATGTTACATACTTAAAAATATCCGAAATCTAGCTAATAGTAATTGAATATAATGCTAATCTTGCGAGTTTTAGAACCCGGATCTATGTAAATATTAAGATTATGAATTTTAATAGAAGGTCAACACACACACATATATACAGGGGGAGGAAGGACTTGAACATGGGCAGGGTCGTGAAGGAATGTCTAATTACCAAAAAAAGAAAAAATAGTAATCCTAAGAAACTATGAGCAACCCAGACACACTTTCATCCGAACTTGAGACATCATAAACACATTTTTTTTTTTTTCCTAAATGAAGGAGTTTTGAAACATATAAACAATACTGTACAAAGAGATAAAGTAAGGGTATACCCTCACTTACAAACACAGAATTCGCTCAAACATGGGAATAAAAAACAAAAAAGAAAACACATAGAGAAAGTTACAAGATATCATGAAGACTAACCCCCATAACATCAAGAACTTCCCAAACAATACACTAAGCAATTTCCTTTGGCTCTCTACACTTGTCATTATGAAGTCTCTCATTTCTTTCCAACCAAACATCATAAACACATTCAAACAATTGTTTAGTCAAACAAATCTATGTAATATCTAACCTAAATAAAGTGGAAAATGAGAAGTTGAAAAAAAAGTGGAAAATGAGAAGGAAATAAAAAAAAAATGAAAAATCAAAGTCCGAAATTTAGCAAATAGCAATTGAATAAAATGCTAACCTAGTGAGTTTTAGAGTGTGGATCTATGTAAACATTAAGATTATGGATTTTAACATAAGTTTGTTTTTTTTTTTTTTTTTTTTTTTTTGGGAGAGGGAACATGAGCACATTCGCTCGGGAAACACTCTACTAACTAAGCTATCGAGTCTTTGGCTTCGTTAAAACAATATATAACATAATTCATAACAATATTGTCATCAATCATATCGTTACATAACACATGTTACAGGCTACCAACAAGGCCACTGAATCTCCGACTTTACATAACACGTCATAACATTTACATAATTCATAACAATATTGTCTATCAATCATAACGTTACATGACACATGTTACAGACACTGCAATGGCTATTACTTAAAAAGCTAGGTTTAATACTAGAAGCAACATCTGCACCTAAAGGGAAAGGAATTAGCAAAATCCAATCCAAACACAATTTTTAAAGTATTCTCATATTCCATCCATATGCCCAACCAATTTAAAAGTCTCCGTCTTTTGTTGATTTTAACAAATTCCAAGATCTACAGAATTTCCAAGCAATTAAAAAAAGTGGAATATCATTATTACAATCGTTGTCATACACAAAAAGACAAGATCTAATAAAACATCAAGTCACTGATATGGCAAATCCAATTCTCAAATAAACTAAGAATCTCTATTCTGAAATAACATCAAGCTTTCTTGTATGACAGTCTTTGCTATATTATTAAATCATGCCAAGATCCAGATTATAGCTAACTCCCAAAAAAAGATGGAGATTATAGCTAGGTTTACACGTGAGGACAGACACAAACACTAGCTATGGGTTCCCCCATTGAATGTGACATATCTCGAATCCTTTCTAGCATGTTCTATTCATAAGAATATACATATATGCATACGTGTGTGTATATGTATGTATATATATACACACACATTCACTTGTATTTATTCAAAAATGTAAAGAATAAGCCTATGCCTCTATTGCTAGGAATATAACATGAATCATAATGCTAATGATAGAACCCGATGACAAATTTAACAGATTGGTATCAGATCTGTATTAGATCTAAGGTCCGACTCCACTTGGGTGGAAACAATTCCTTGAAGGGAGGGAGAAAAAAAAAAATGACATGTGAACTACAAGGTTGTCAAGCCCTTAATAGGGCAAATTCCAAGTTCACTTTCTGGCTTAAATAAAAATAAGTAACCCTCCAATTCTAGAGAATATTTTCTTTATATTTTTTGACATTTGACCGTTATTCTCCTCATGCTTCTACTCTTGTAGGGTTGGCCCAGAAAATGTAGGTCATTTTCTTTATAGTCCTACATGTACATCTTAAATTCTTCAAATTTCTTAGAAGAGTAGAAATGGATGGGTAAGCAATATATTTTCAAGAGTTCTAATAAACAACATTTGAAATCCCAGTTGGTGCACACAACAGTCTAGTGGCAAAGCAAGTTTAGGAGAAAATCATTCAAACATTATGGAAGATACTCAAATTTCTCTACATGCAGAGGGGCAAAAACAAGTTCACGGGCTTAATTAGTCCAGCTCATTTATGGTCCAATTTCAGTAATCCAACATTAATTAGTTGTCTACAGTCATGCACCACTATATGTATTGATTTGAAAAGCCATAGATCAAACACTTCAAACACATTCTTCAGGCATGAGAGAAGGAAAACTCCACATACAAGGAACACTACTTCTGAGCAAGAACCTTGTCGAGTGCTCAATACTTTGGAGGTGGCTTTTGGGTTGGCAACAACCCAAACCGCTTCTTTAGAAGAACTCTCTGTCTTGAGTATTTGTCATCGGGGGAGAAGCGAGCTGCAGTCAGGGGTGGGGGTTAGAAAAATATGAGAACAGAAAAAATCAATTAAAGAGCTGCATAGAAATTTTGTTGCTCTATCGTGCTATAAAAAATAACAATAAACAAAAGGAGCAGAGCATCACTAAATAGTAGCATGGAAACATTTTTTGATGGAAAAGCTGTGCATTTGCCCCTACTTTTACCAAACGAATCATTCGGACAGTGGCCGACTTGGTCAAAATTTAGATGGAGAGGCTTCTGTCCTAACCAACTGACAATGTCAGGTGCCAAATCCAAAATAATGAAACAGACAACCCGACCCAAAACCATAGAACACCTCCTCTACCACTATAGCCGACCGCACACAACCATCTGAGAGGCAAATGTCATCCTTAGAAAAGGTAGAAGTCTTGGGGCTCATTTGGCATAGTTTTTGCTTCCGCTTTTACAAGGAAGAAAAAGAGAAATAAAAGTTATCACTTTCATTTGACTTATTTGTTAGTTTTTGAAAATTTGTATTTTAGAAGAGCTTTTAATGACAGAAGAGTTTTTTTGTCTACTTGGCAAAACATTTGCTGAAACTCTTCAACTATTAAAATAAGTATTTTGCCCTTAAATAGAGTGTTATTTTCAGCTATTTCTCAACATAAGAAAGTAAACCTGTTTTTTATACAATTATTTCTTAAATAACATACCACTAAACCATTTAATATAATCAAATTTAGTTCAAAATGTGTTTGGCTCGAATTTTTGAGCAAGTCATGGCAAACTATTCCTATAAAAACGTGACTAATCAAACGGTGATTAGGCAATGTAAAGAGAAGTAGGAATGACCCTACTCTATGGTTCAGATTGCCTCTAGAACAAGAACTTTAGCAAATTAATTCAGGAACAAAGTGAAGAAAGTGACAGAATGTAGAAAACACCCTGTGGTATTCACGTTTATTCCATACACAGTGATTCTTGTACAAGAAATACAAGAAGTAGAGTTTGATTACAACTAATCTATACTAAGGCTAGATTACTACAAAGGATAAAGGAGTGCATGAGAATTGAAATACATTGTGTGGTCATGGACCCTTCCAAAATCATCCTTCTATTTATACTTGGTCATGGCAGTTGCTTTAACTGTCCCATTCAAATTCAAAAACATGTATTCTTTGTGCTGATCCTTTCCTTTTATTCTCTCCCGTTGCCACGTGTCTTCAGAAATTTAACCTTCATTGAAACTTGCACGTGAAGGCCATCTTGCTTATTTTGAATCAACTTGAATACTTTCTTCAATCCCATGCCACGTGGCCAAATCAAGAGAGTCATGTTTTTGGTACAAACACTTAAACTTATCCACCCCTCCTTATTCTCATTACCTGTTACGTCTTCGTAAGCAAACCTGCACGTGCAAGCCAACAACTACTTTTGTAACCAATTTCTATTCTATTCAAATGAAGATTCGATGTTTTGATTGGTCACCACTCTTGCAATTGGTTTCTTTCACACTTTTTCAGCCCTTGCCATGTGGCAAAAATTAGAAAATTTAGATTATGGTGTAAATGTATATGTCCGTAAAGTGACAGATCATATCATGAAAAATGGCATTCATAGCCCTTTGATAAGTGGCCTCTGCATTCTTTAACCCAAAGAGCATTACAACCCACTCAAAGGTGTCAACTGACCCTGGACATCTAAAAGCGGTCTTGGCTACAACTTCTTCAGCAATGTAAATTTGGTTATAGCCATAATGACCGTCCATGAATGATATCATGTCATGCTTAGCTGCCGAATCAACCAATTCATCAATCGGCATTAGATACTCAATTTAGGAGTGGCTAAATTCAGATTACTATGAGAATCACATCCGAAGCCATTCTTCTTGGCGGTTGCTTGAATGGCTGAAATCCTTCTTTTATTGGGAGCCTATGTTCCACCAATTGTCGAGACAAACCAGGCATTTCATCATTACTCCATGATAAAGCTTGGCCGAATCTTGTCCTCGGTTCCAAGGTTGATTTCAACAAGCGGATCCTATACATCAACCTTTAAATCTTCTAACTTTGAGTCTTTTAACTAAATTGCACCTTTGGCCACTGCATCATTAACCTCCTGCTCTTCAGCAGTTAGGTCGTTCATATTAACCAATTTTTCTACCAGCAACATAACACATTTTCTGATGAAATAGGCTCGAAGACTGGCAAAACTCTTCAATAGGGCCAGCTCGCTTTCTTCTTGTTTAGTAAGTTGTTTTCTCATCACAGACTTCTGTCGAAACAGCCTTAGCATCTGACCATTGCACAAACACAATGGTAGGTTGCTCAAATTCTTTGCAAAGTTCTTCTATATCCCTAGGGGTAATTTTCTTCTTCCAAGTTGGCCCCCATGCGTTCCATGTATATCTCCAGCAATCAGCCTTATGGGGCCGACATCGTCCTCATAAAGTGGAGCATCAGCCATGTTTACACTTGCCACAAACAACTGATTATCTGCCATTCTGCCCATATAATTTCTACCTCATCTCCATTCCAAAAGATTGAGAATTGTTGAAGTGAAGATGGAATTCCACAATTTGGGTGAAGCCAATCATGGCCAAGTAGAGCACTATAAGCCACATCAGTCTCTATTACAAAGAATGCTACCATTGAGGTCTTATTTCCAACGGTCAAATCAAGAGAAAGAACCCCTTTTTGCTGGAGTTGGGGCTACGGTAAAACCATAACAATCAGTTGGCATAAATTTTTCGGTCTTGTTCGACAACTTGGCCACTTTCATTGACAAAACATTGACCATGGATCGATTATCAACTAACACTCTAGAAATGGGCATACCTTCTAACCAAATCTTGCTAAGTGTGGACATGTTATGTAAGTGGGTTTTACCAAATGACCCTCCTAGGACCCTCTCCTGGAAGGTCCATTTCTAATTGGTATTGGACCTTATTCCATAACTACTCGACTTCTTTTCTGGCTCGATAGGAATTACTTTTGAGTTAGAACTCAAAATCTCAGGGATGTCCATTATCAAATTCTTTCACATCTCCAACCAAAGTGGTTGGGGGATCAACCTTAGCCTCAAAAATTAATGAATGACAAAAGTCATGTTACAACTACAGTTCCCGAAATTGACCCAAATTGTATTTCATGTGATTTTTGCATTTCTTCATCATTATTTTCATCTAAATCATCTATTTCATCATCATCAATTTCAGGCAGAGACTTAGAGGAAGATGGCATACCTGGAGTTGTGGTTCTGGTCCGACTCTTTAGTCACCTATTTGTCAGTTAGTCTTTTGTTTTGGTCAATGCTTGTTGTTTGTGCTGTTTCAACCACCACTTTCCATGGAATTCATTATGCTGCTAGCCGCTTCATTCAACTCCATCTTCCGACGCCAAGCACGAATTCTTTGCCATCATTTTTTTTTTTGGATCTTAGTCATGGTTGGTTGAACTCATTCATCTATGTCCAAAAACTTGGAATGTTTCACCGTTGTCCATTTCTGATCTTCGGTGACTCGAGGCTTAAGCATCCTTGGTTTACACTCATGTCCAAGTATTTGACATATACCTTCTTACCCCTTGGTATCCCAAACAGTTAAAAACCCATGTAGGTCCTCTAGGGCCAAAACTGAATCCCCCCCCCCCCCCCCACCCCCCAACACCCCATGCCAAGTCAACATGTCAGATACAGGGTGTCCATATGGTTGTTCCTTACTTGATGGAGAAAGGGATCGAACCATACAAACGCTTTTCAACTTAGGAGTACGATTTGACCCCTCCTCCTGACCATACTTCTTATCTTCAGCCGCTGCTATCTTTTGATCCCGCTTATAACTGGGACAATAGCCTTGATTGATCAAGGCAATTTGTGCCTCACTTAATGGCTTCTCCATTTCTACAAGGCTCCAATTCTGTTCAGCTTCTACAATTGGTGGTTTGCCTTCTGACCATTCAACCCATTTCCCTTCATCGACAACAGTTTTTCTGACTTGTTGGATGCTGAAATGGTTATCATATTACTTATAACTGCCACTGGGAAATGGGTCATTCTTTCTTTTCGGAAAACTTGAGTTGGTCCTTCTCAATCAACCTCTATATTATATTACAGAAGAAAGTAGTATAGTGGTGCTAATAATTGTGGCACTTCCAATAATTCTTTCCTTTTAATTCATCTTGTGAAGGGATCTTCTGCCCTTTTGAAAGACCAATAACCATATCGGCCAACATGTGGTCAAGTATTTCATTTGCCTTAGTTATGTCAAAGGCATATGTTTACCAGCCTCTGCCAATATTCTTTTGGCCACTGAGGTCAAAGCCTGAACATTACCAACCGTTTTGGCCGGTTTAATTAAAAGCTTGACAAACATATGACTTTTTACTTATTATCGCAAATATTTCCAAGTTCCAGCCCAATGTCTGCTTCTATAGTTCTATAGTTTGGGTCCTTACAATAAGCATCTTTTGATGCCTCTATCATATGAATTTCATAGTTGGGGTCCCTATAATAATAGGTAAAACCCTTGAAGTGTTTCTTTTGTCTTGCTCCTCTTAAAGGACCTTTTCATATCTAGCCGCAGTTGAGGCCAATTGGAAAAGATCCCTAAACTCCATGCCTTCAAATTTCTTTCAAAGTTCAAAGTCCAGATCGTTTAATGACAAACTAATATACTCAGTCACAAGAATGGCCACTTGACATCTATGTTTGACCATTTTAAATCGTGCAATATACGTTTCAGCCGATTCACCATGCAATTGGGAAAGCCTAAAGAGAGGTCAGCCATTGACACCTCTGGTTTTGTCCTATAAAATTGGGCATGGAACATCTCTTCAAGTTGCCACCAAGTCATAACCGAATTCGGTGGCAAATTTATATACCAAGAAAAGGCTATTCCTGTAAGAGAATTTGCAAATAACTGCAATTTTAAAAAGTCACTGGTTCCAGCCTCACCACATTGGAGAGTAAAACGACCAATTTGTTTAACGATCGAAGTAGAGTCTTTACCCAAAAAGGTGTCAAACTCAAGGACTCGAAAGCCCCTAGGAAACTCAAAATGGTCAAAATAATCAGGATACAGTTTCCTATATACTGGCCTACTGTAATGGGTCAAGTGCTTCGCGATCCGACCCAAAAGCTTAAACTATTAGGCTATGTTACCTGGACTCGTCGGCGAAGGCCAAAGTGCCCGTGTCGACACGACATGACACGGACACGGGATATGCGTCCAACCCTCCATTCTTCAATCGGACACGGCTGACAACGAAAATACATAAAATGATGTGTAGTTTGATGCTTGAGAAGGATTAGGAATTTTTTTCATGTTTTTTTGTTAAATCTGTAGCCATACGAAGCTTTCTGTTTCAACAATGGCGTTCTGGTTCAAATCGGTGGTCTGAAGGTTGAAGACCACTTGCTGTTTGTTAATAACTTAACACCCAGCTTTTTAATGGTCAAGATCATAACACCTGTTTATTTGGATCTGAAAAGATAAGGGACATTAGGACACAGCTGTAAAGCATTACCTACTGTGGTGGGGTTACAGTTGTAACTTTGCTTTTATATTACTGTTATAAATACCGTGTATATTGAATGGGCTTCCTTTTTAATTGTGCTTTGGACTTGTACGGGCCCAAAACCCAAGCATCAATCCATGACTAAAATGCAGATACAGAGACATATTAGCCCATATTGAATTAGTCATTCTTTTTAATTGTGCTTTGACTTGTACAGGCCCAAATGCCAAGATGCACATACAGAGGCATATTAGCCCAAGCCCAAACCCGCCTTTGGGTATACAAAAGAAGCCCTACAACTCAGAATTTCTTATTTACAGGTTCCATAAAACAGCAGTAACAGGGGAATGCATAACCACGACATGCCACCAATCAAATGAGGCAAACAAATGCAGTAATAATTATAAAATTCCTATAAAAAAAATTACAATTGATATATATTTTTTTAGTTTTATGATTAATGTCTCAAACATTAAAAAAAAAAAACTTACAAATTTTTCTCTCTTTTCAAAGTGTCCAAGTACCCCTGTCCAATATTTGGACACTTTTAATCCGTGTCCCCGTATCTTGAAAATTGAAAGATTGACGAATCCGACCCCTAGACACGCCCCATTGTCCGACACCTATACCCGAGTCCGGGTAACATAGCTATTAGGTGGGGCAAACATCCAACCCATATATAACGATTTTACTTTCCATCCGGATCCGATGTGGGACACCGGTAACATTCTCCCCCACCCGAACTCACAACGCCTTCATTGAGGTTAGGCCACCCTGCCTACCTGGGGGGCACACCCGGACTCCTTCGAGCCGGATGCTTGGTGTGACACCAGATCAAGGGCTAAGTATGACTCTGATACCAACTGTAACGGATCAGGTGCTTCGTGATCCAACCCAAAAGCTTAAACAATTAGGTGGAGCTAACATCCAACCCATTTTACTTCCCATCCGGATCCGATGTGGGACACCGACAACCCCTACCACCCCTTCTTAGAGCAGGTCCATAGGTTTCTTGTATTAAATCAGAACGGACTCAATTATTACTTGAAACAATGGTAAGAAATCAGTAACAATAAAACCGAATGATGTGATCTTAAGAAGGCTGTTATAACAAGTGTAGATGACAAATCCAATGTAACAATTGCATCTCGACATTATAGTTTCACATAGCCTATTGCAGACCTTTAGTAATCAAATAAACTTAAATGAAATTACACAGTGAGATGGTGATGCGATATAAATGAACATGTCATAGAAACGTGGGCAACACTTCAACAGAATCTAGAATATTGGAAATGATCATAAGGATTGTAGGGACTTTCCAAAAATGGAGCATGTCAGGTCAACTGAAAGGCAGCTCTCTTTCCCCCTCAACGAGACCAACTTAACTAACTTAGAAATTACACAACCCCTGAAATTTTGGCATGACTTTTGATTGTCTTACTTTCAAGTGAACAAATCACACTACAAACCATGAAAGCTGGGTGCAGGTAGTCTGTTTTCTTAGCTTTTCAAAAAAAAAAGTTTAATTCAAGAAGGAAAAAAAAAAAAAAACCAAAGAAACCCTCCTCCCTAACCAATATTCCATTTGAATATTCAACGTCAAAACATTACCTGGATGAGCAGATTCTGTAGCCAATCCAAGCGGTGATTCTTTCTGCAAATAAAAGACAACTGAATGTAAATAATGAAAGCTGTATAAAGATGAAATAAAGCGAAATATTAAAAAGGTTAGAAACTGTAAGATGAATAAGTTCAATTACAAAACTTTTGGCAGAAATGTTTTACATAACAATAAGAGAAAAGTTAGAAAAAATAAACATAAGAGAAGATAGTGTAATCAAAGCATAAACCTCTAACCAAGATTTTTGTGGCACCATAAACTTGAAATTCAAATTTTGAATTATCTTATCTACATAAATTATTGAACAAATTAATCCATGTCCGTTATAAAAGCAGCTATGGTTGGTGGGCATGGATCTGGAATTTGTTTCTGCTTATGACCCTTTGGGCTGGTGGTTTTGCCCCTATTAATTGCATAAATTTCATTGCTGCTGTGTCACAAAGGGAAAAAGTAGAAAAGCTAGAATACCACATTGGGCCACTCTATGGGATTCAATCCAGTGAAGTAAAGGGCTCTAAAAATTATCAATTTAATAAAAATAAATGCCCCGTTAATCAGTATCATGACTCGAGTTACTGATTCTGCACAGCTTACTTCACAGCTCCTTAATGCAGAGTGGTTCTCAACTTACATTTTATTAACACTTCCTCTTCCTTTTCATCATCTTCCCCTCATTTTCATCAGTACTTGCTTTCCATCTCCAAAAGAACACCACAACGAGATCCACAGACCTCCACCACCGTAATCAATCTTAGAATACCACTGCCAAATCCCATCTTCAGACCTACACAATGCTGCCTTTTTCTCCACCTATGTCTTCTATTTCCTCTTTTCAGAGCACCATCGCCTACTGATGGCACCAAAACTGTCACACCCCCAAAATTTTAATACAAGAAACCCTTGTCACGTACTTAAAATCTGGCGCATGACTTACATTAAACGTCCTCAACCATCCACAATAACATTAAATAGAAATAAATCCCCATCTACCATTTTCATTAGTTCAACATAAGTCCATGACATCAAGACCAACTAAAGACGATCCACTAATTACCATACTACTTATTACGAATAATTATTGAACTAACAAAAAAATAAGCAATAAACAAGCTGGTCTACATCTCTATCACAAGCCTCCACCACATGTCTAATCGATAAAGGGGTGAGAGCTCAGTCACAAGCTAAGCAAGAAATGTCAAACACAATCATCTTTCGTCAAGTCAACCTTACCTTGCATTCCCAAATATAAACGCAACTCAGATAAAGTACATCAATCATGTATACTTATCTCAAGTTAATTAAATATCACCGTGATCCCAATTACGTGCCATAAATTAGTTAACTCTCAATTAACATTTACTAAAATCACTTATATCACATGAGCTCAAGGCTCCCCTCGAGCAGGTGGCTCACTCTCAAGCCACGAGTATAGGATCAACCACTCCCATACGCCAAAGGTGGTGCGAATCGCATAGTCTCGGACTATCAAAAACATACATGCGGCTGGGTTTGTACGGTTTTTTTTTTTTTTTTTTTTTGATAAGTAATAATAAAATAAAAAGGCATTCAAAAGGGGAACACGACCCTTAAACAATAGTGGAACCGGGGGTCTAAGGCCCCAAAGAATCCAAGAAAGTAATTAAATCATTAGAAGAGGAGCAAGAACTCCTCTTCACATAATTGAAGAGAAAATGAATAATAAAAAGTTTCAGCGTCACCATAGACGACTCCTTCCCTTTGAACATTTTGTTATTTCTCTCCTTCCATAAGCACCACCATAGGCAATGTGGAACAACTCTCCAGTAATTGCGTACATCTCTTCTCACACGACATCCTCTCCAAGCATGAATCAACTCCTTAGAAGAACGTGGCATTACCCAACACATGCCAAACAACCCAAGAATAAGATTCCAACAGTCGTGCGCCACAGAGCAATGCATGAGGATATGATCAATTGACTCACCATCTTGCTTGCATAGGCAGCATCAATTGACAAAACAATTCCCCCTTTTCCTCAAATTATCAATCGTCAGTATCTTACCCCAAAGTCCATACAAAAAATGCTACCCTAGTTGGAGCCATAGAACGCCAAATGGTCCTCCACGAAAAGTCAAGGCGATCAAAATTAGATAGACATAGGAATAAAGATCGCACTTCAAAGCGACCATGGGAAGAGGGAATCCATGTCAGATCGTCACTTCCTCTGCCAGCTCCTTCCTGCTGATACAACTGATCCAAGAAGACACAAACCTCATTCAATTCCCAATCCTGAAAGGGACGTCGAAAGTGCACATTGCACGTAATCCCACTGCTATCAAGTCGATAACAGTCAGTTACGTAGGCGTCCCTATCAACTGCAATACTATATAGTCTGGGAAATGTACGAGCTAATGGGTGATCACCACACCAAAGGTCTTCCCAAAAACCAACACATCTGTCATCACGAACTTTGAATCTAACATGAGAAGAGAAGACGTCCCATCCCTTTCGAATGGATTTTCACATGCCAGCTCCTCCCGCAGCACAGTTTGTTGGGCCCACACCCGGTCCAACCAAAATAAAATAGTATTTTTAATTAATTTTAAATTTTCCGCGATTTAAAACTCTAACTGTTCATTATGAATCTATTAGGATATAATACAAATTAAAAAATAATAAAATGTTGTATAGAAAAATTCACCAAATTAATATATATATATATATATATATATATTAGCTTATTTCTACAATATCTATGAAGACATAGTTTGAAAGGTAGAGAGAGTACGAGAGGAATAAAAGAGAAGAATTGAAATAAGGATGACTGGTCCAATGTCACCATTGTTATATCTCGATGGTGCATTTGATGCGCTTGGAGCACAATCCTGAGATTCATCAATGGTGGCCTTGTGGAAAAATGATCTGTATGGACCAATCTAATGTAAGGCCGGCATGATAGTGATGGTTGTTTAGCAAATAATGCCAGTAACAAAAGAGTTCCAATAAAGTTGAAAGAAGTGCAATAGAAATTTTTTCATTACTACCACCATTTGGACGGATGAAAGTTTTTGAACTGGTTTCTTGATGGGTGTTTGGAGGAGATTTTTGGTAAATGGTTATAGTATTTTAGGTGGGGCTTCAATTGTGGTGATTCTGGACGTTCAAATGTTTTGCAAATCACCTGTCAAAAATAAAAACTTCATGGAAGCACCAAACTTTTCATTATACAATCATTATTCACGTGTCTTTTTCTAATATTGAAAATCTTTTCAACGATCCAGACAAACATGAAGTAAAGAAGCCTTTCGAGCGTAAAGAAGTCTTGTGAGTTAATTGAGAAATATTAAGTTGTTACAAGCATTACTCTTGGGAAAGAGGATGCAGAAGAATGGATGAGATTGATATTGATATAAGAAACTAAAGACTGAACTTTGTGAGCTTTGGGGACTTGGAACCAGTCGTTCATATCCTTGTCAGAAAATTGTCATTAGAGAAACATAGTTAAGATCAGAGAAGCTTGTCGTCTATGTGGTTCATACTTATGGCTACAGGGTGCATAACCATCCAGAGAAACGAGAACGATATAAATTTAGCTAAATAAAGTACAATATTTGGTTCTGTTATACGAATGCAGAACAATGGGTTCATTCTCAAAGAACACATAGATCACCTTCTCTTTATCCAGTGGGTGGAAGAATAGTACATTAGTCAACATATGGTAAAGTTCTGTGACAGAACTGTGTAAATTTTTTTCATTTTGACACAAAGACAAGGAACTGCATAAACTATTTGTTAGCTAAGGTAAACCTCAGCAGAGGCACAATGCATAATTCAAATGTATTACATATTCTGGAGCAAGTTCAATTCCAAAGAATTACATTAGAGCAGCAGTCATCAATGCCTCATAATTTATATGAGCTTCAATTGCAGATAAAACCAACATGTCTAATCAAGAATGGTTTCACCAACGGACATAGTCTTCGCAAATTTGTGGTCGTTAACCATAACCATGAATATGTTGTCGCAGACTGTGGCCTACACAAAATTGTTGCTATACCATGTTGTAACGAAGACTTGCTAATATCCTGAAAAGTTTGGTGATTTGTTTAATGCTATCAGTTCACAGTGCAAGAAACTGGGACTATGTGAATATAGTGCTGATAAATTCAGTTTCAGCCAACAATTCGAATATCCTTATGGTGCGTGCCTCGCAAACAAGCCACCACCAAGGCGCAAATGTCAAGGTATTAGGGTGCAACTATATTCACCAAAAAGGCTACTTTTGGGCTTCGCTTCAAGAAGCTTCAAAGGCCTTTTCAACACTAGTTGGGATTACCAACACCAGTACACATCATCCCACATGAACTCTAAGAAAATCTCTGACAAGTGTTAAATCAACACACATCAAACCATAATTATGGTTTAAATAGAACTAAAATAAAATAAAATACTACATAAAGTTCCATCCCTTAAAAACCCATCAGGTAGTGTAAGTTCACAGATATATTACTTAATTCATCCATCAAACAATTTAATTTCACAATGCATCACTCTAAAAGCATTTATACTAAGTAACAGGCATAACATCGGATTAAATCCGTCTACCATGCTAAACCAACAAATATACAAGAAATTAATAGACTAAAGCATAGCCTGAAAATCCACATAGAGCGACCTTTGTTCAAAAAAACTCCAACATTAATTGGTACATCATCTGATAAAATGAAAAGGAGTGAATCAGCATGACGATGACATACCTTGGTGGTGTACACTTTGTCCCCATTCTCATTTATGTAAAACTGGAGATACATCTTATCAAGTTGTTCAGCTGCTGAAAGAAAATTTCCATGAAATGTACCGAACAGAATATTCATGAATTAAAAATCCAGAGACTTATCTTCTGAAACCAACACAATACATAGACCAATTTGTTCATCCAAAATAAAACAAAAGCATATATATACATGTGTGTGTGTGTGTGTGTGTGTGTGTGTGTGTGTGTGTGTAACTGCGAGCAAGCAGAATCGTTAGATAGACAAATTATATAGGAAACTACACCTAATAAATGAACCTTGGTTTATTCGAAATAACGAGAACGAAAAATTAAAATTTTTACCCTTTAATGGCCATATTGTTTGCTGGAAAAATAAGAAAATGATAAATTTTGAGTCTGGATAACTAAAAAAATTGGAACTTGATATAAGAATAGACTATATATATATATATATATATATATTTTGACTGCACTCAACTAAACTTGTATGCTGTTTTAAATTTTTGCCTTCCGTTTTCCTGTGTTTTCTCGGCAACCAAACAGATGGTGAAGAAGAGCAAACGCTATAATCGAATTGAAACATATGAAAAAGATTACCAGGACTAACCTTATTGTTGTCGTCTTACACTTCTCAGCCCTAAAACCCCAAACCAGTAAAACCTGGAAGATGGGGGAAACCCTGATTTTATAATCAGATACTGTAATTACAATATTGCCCTACTAGATTATTGGCATTTCCTGAGGCTTTAAGTTGCAAATTTAGACAATTTGAAGATTCAATCTTGATAAACCAAGTTGATGCAATGGTGTGTGAACTATTTTGAACTTAAAGTTATGTTCATTTAAATAATTACTTTTTGGGTAAAGTATAGTCACACCTCCTGAGGTTTGGTAAAAGGAAAACCTATTTTTTTAACAAAGATACCCCTTGATGATTCAAAAATGGACAAAGACACTCCTTTACATGAAAATTTGACCAAATTACCCTTTGACCATTTAGAAGACTTTTTTTAACTTTACAATTTAATAAATTTGACCAATCTACCCTCATGAACAATTTATGCATAAAAAAAAAAAAAAAAAAAACTTTATACTGTTCACTTTTTTTTCTTTTTTTTTTTGTGTTATTTACTTTATAAATATCCCAACTTCTAAAAAAATGTAGACGTCTAAAGTGATTTTTTGATCCAATACATATATTTCAAATAAATTATATTTTGTTATTACTTCTTTTCTTTTTCTTTTTTATTTTTAAATTAAGATACTTAATTCTTTTATCTAAAAAAATTAAACCAATTTCTTTTCCTTAAAAATAAAAAATATGGTACCAGTATAACTTTATGCATCTTAAATTATATATCAAATATTATGCATTTCCCAACATAAAATAAAATATTACATCTCTTCTTATCTCAAATGCATTCTCATGATTAAAATTATAAATTTTTCCTCATGCTTATGATTTTGATGCTTTGATCCACATACAAAAAGTTACAAAGAATTAACTTTCACGTATCAATTTTTTTCTATCCCAATGAGAAAGGGGGGAAAAAAAAAACACAAGTTATAGTTTTTAACATATTTGTCAACCCTTTTTCCACGTACATGTCAATATATTGTTCAATGAAGGGATAAAGGAATATACAAAATCCAATGAGTTTGAGGGTGGTTTTGAGGTTTTGAATTAGTATGAAGTTAGTGGTGGTGTGTGCATTTGTTCAGCTTCAAGGAGGTACCAAGCAACGGAAAACAAGTTTTAACTTTTTTTTTTTTATGCATAAATTGTTCATGAGGGTAGATTGGTCCAATTTATTATATTGTAAAGTTAAAAGGTCTCATAAACGGTCAAAGGGTAATTTGGTCAATTTTTCATGTAAAAGGGTGTCTTTGTCCATTTTTGAAACTTCAAGGGGTGTCTTTATTCAAAAAATAGGTAAGTTTCCTCCGGGTGTCCTTTTGCCAAACCTCAGGAGGTGTGGCTGTACTTTACCCTTACTTTTTAAAAATAATAATAGGCTGCTTATATTCACCCTCCACAAAAGTGTTAAATAAGCCAAAATATTATTTTTAAAAAAATAATTGACTGTTTATATTCACTATTTATAAAAATCTAAACAAGCTCTATTTTGTCTAGGAAAATGATATTCCAACCGAAATATCTTACCGATTACTTTGGTAGAATCTACTTGGCCTATCTACTTGGCCTATCCAGCTAAGCCACTTTCATCTCTTCTATATCCTTTCTTTCTTTTTCTCATTCTATTTCTCTCTCTAATATATATATATATATATATTAGAGAGAGAAATAGATATATATATATGATATGAAGTTGCAATCATATCTTAAAAATCAAAAGTTGTTTCTTTCTTCAAGTTAAGATAGTAAGAAATATTACTTGAAGGGACGAAACGAAGAGGGAGAGATTTGATAACTATCAGAAGAGAAGAACTTAGCTTAGAACTTGACACTCTAAAAAAGTTAACTTTTCCGCCAACGCGTATATTGTTTCTCCTTTTATTTTATTTATTTATTTTCCTTTTTCTAATTGTTAAAATTATTTACCTGAACTATCATGTGTGTTCTACCAAACTAATCTACCAAAATCATCTGCCTATCTATCACAATCCTTTTTTCTATTCTCCTAAAATGAAATTACAAAAAAAATAAAAAGAGAAATGATAGAGCCACCGACTTAAGCTTCCAAATTATCCTCCGCATCCAATGTGGCTTACCCACTTCAGACCACTAAAAAATACACCAGCATTTTTCTTTAGGTTGTTTTTGGCTGGACATCTTTGGGTGCTTTTTTTGAAAGAGCTTTTTTCTCTTTCTCAATACTGAGTTAATTCCAATTATGAATGTGTTTAATTAGTTCGTATCAGTTTTCTGTGACATTACATATATTATAGTGGAAAGTGGCCAAAAAAAGTAAAGAAGGAAAATATATACAACACTACCCTTGTTGGTGTTTAAAGTATAATAGTCCATTGTTGTTGTTTAGTGTCTTAATAAATGTTGTCTATTTGACTAATGTGCAAGTCACAAGTGCCAAAAAGAAGAAAGGCTGTAAATATATAAATTTACAAATGTGCTCATGCAAACTTTGTATGTTCATTTTTGTTATGTACTTTTTTGGTTGAACAGATTAATCCATGTCGTCGTCATGGGACTAACATTCATGCTCAAGTGGTTACTAATTTTTCCAACCTTATAGAGAAGTCACATGAGGTAATTTAAAAGTAATTATAATAATTTTTAGTTGATGCTTCAACATTTTGCAATTTCAGCGTTGATGTTATATATATATATATATATATATTATCAATAATACTAGGTTTATCAACTTCTCTTAGGAAGAGGTTTATGCTTCAACATGTGATTAATATTGATCATATTAATGGTGCAATTTTGTACATCATGCGGTGTGATTTCCAGCATCATGGAAGAGTCAGGTCCACCACTTCAACTAATGGGCTGAATTTGGTTTTCTTTTATCTGCTCTGTTCTGTTTCTGGTGTTGTGCACATTTTGGTATCATTTGTATTGTAGTTGTCTACAGGGGCGGAGGCAGGATTTTAATTTAGAGGGGCATGGTGCAAAAAAAAAAAAAAATTCACAAATAAAAGAAAAAGAATTTTAGGTATTAGAAAAAGAAATAGAAAAATTTTAGGTAGTAGAAGAAGAAGAAAAAGAAAAGAAAAATGACATAACTTTGGAAAGAAAAAGAATTAGAGCCTGAAGAAGAATTTTTTTTAGTTTTTTTAAAGGAATTTAAAGAGAGGAAGAGGAAAATAAGAAAAAAAATTAAAGAGAACTTTAGAAACTAAAATAATTTTAGGGGGGGCATTATAAGTAAATTTCCACATATATGTAAAAAAATTAAGAATATGGCTATAATAATATAATGAGCGAGGCCAAATCAGAGGGGTCATGTGTCCGCCTTGGGCATGAACCGGCTCCGCCCATGGTTGTCTATCTTTGCTGCATTTTTCTTTTGTTGGCCTGCACTTTAGGTGTAGGCTTTGTCATTTGGATGGTTGTTCTTTTGGCATTTGGCCTTGTTGGTTGATAATTATTGCTGATTTTTCACAAGGGTATGTCCTTATCCTCTATTGTACTTTTATTGTTTATATATATTAATATCTGTGTTCATTCAGTTTTTATTCCCCATCATATTATGGATTGTGATATACCCATATTTTTTCATTTCAAAATGCACAATCAAAAGAAAAAGAAAAGAAGAAAAGAAAAAAAAAAGAAGATAACATTTATAAGTTTTATCACTTTTGTAGTACAGAAATAAATATGTACTTCCTCATTGAGAAATCGATCCCAAAAAAAACAAAAAACAGAACCATACCCATGGAAATTGTTCATAAAGTACCCACAAAATTTTTAAAAATATACCCACCATAATTTAGAAACATACCCATGAAAATTTAGAACAAGCCTGAAAAGAATATAGTTTATAAGTTTAGATTCAGAAGTATATTAAGATAGAAATCGAAGAGAGAAATATAAAAGAAACAAATAGAGAGAGACGGGAATTGATTGGGAAAGATATAAACAATATGGAAAGAGTATCCTAGAGAGGGAGAGAGTATAATTGGCGGGAAAGTCGTTTTTATTGAGAATGGGAAAAGGGTTTAGCTTCCCAAAAAAGCTCCCAAATATTGTCCAGCCAATAAAAAAGAAAAAAAAATGCCAGCGTATATTTTAGTGGTCTAACGTGGCTAAGTCATGTTAGATGCAAAGGCTAATTTGAAAGTTTATATCGGTGAGTCTATCATTTCTCAAATAAAAATGGTAGACAACACAATGTTTAATTCCTAAAGTATATTTTTTAACTTCATAATTTTCTTTTGTACTATCAATCTCAACCCTTTTTTTTTATCCCCCAGAAATAGTAGAAGAGGTGAGAGAAATAAGGAATGATAGTTGCATAACATTTTTATCTTTAATTATTTATCAAATTACATTGTTAATGTCATTGAGGGGTGAATTAGTAAAATATGTTCAAAGATTGAGTTTAACCGAATTTATTTTGAACAGGATTTGGGTCAAGGTTTTCATAACTGTTGGTTGATTTTTTTCACACCCTTGGATGATTTAGGTAGGTGAACAAAAAAATTTAATTTTCTTTTAATGTTTATTTGATGGTATGTCATTAAAATTTTGTATGACTCAGAAAACACCCATGAAACCCGTACGATATGCGCTAACTGAGACGCGATAAGTTTTTCGGGACTTGAACTTGGCGTGGACTAAGATCTTAGAACCTTAGATTTGGCATAAGTTAACCACTTAGCCCACCCAAACCGCCCAAGTCCCATCCCTATTATATAAATCATTTTAGTGTTTTACTCAAGATGTATTTTATATTTTACCAAATGGGCAATAACCCAGATACAAGCCCTCCTCTTCAAAGAGGAGGTTGGGTGTTTGAGCCTAGTGAAGGTATGGGGTCACGGGTTTGCTTAACATTTCAAAAATAAATTATAAAAAACATAAATCTATTTTAAGGTCATCAATTAAACCAACGGAATTACTTTTGCACTGTTTATAATAACTAATTAATTAGTTACTGTATTTTGAAGTATGTGTTTCAACCAAACACTTTCTATAGCAATATTAATAAATATTTCAACCTAACTTTTTCAATCACCAAAAAAATTAGACAATACATTACTTCATGAGTCAAATGGGTATAGATCATTACAATTTACATGAAAGACAAATTTGTAAGCTTAATTAAAGAGACTAGTATGTTTCACAAATTTTTTTTGTATGAAGTGTATTTATATACAATTAATGAATTATTTAATTCCTTTCACTGTTTTATTTTATTTTATTATTGTTTTAGAAATAAGCTATTTCAAGTATTAAAGATAAGAGCAATTTAGTGATGTATAGAGTCTAACTTCAAAATTTACCGAAGTCACTAATCTATTGGGCCATATAGGCATCTGCCATAAATATGTACTCACACTTATGACCTTTTATCACTAGGATAACTCGGACAACACCTAAGGTGGGTGTTGTCCGAGTTGTATATATATATATATACTAAAATAGAATTTAGTTGTTCTAACAAAATTTTATAGATCTTATCTTGCAGTAAACTATTTTAATGAATAATGATAGGGCAACCGAATGCTAGTCACGAAATTTTCACCGAATCTGATGTGGATTAGATTCTTTAACCATCCTAATAATGGGAAATAAGTTGCTTGAAAATAAATTACTAAGAAGGTGTTTTTTGTTCTTATAGTAGCCATCTATATATATACTCACACAAAATTATATTTATGAAAGTTTTCCATCTCCAAATGGGACAATCTTGAAACTCTAATTTGATTCACTTTCTTTCTGTTTAAGTTTTCTATTATAATTTGTGCAATCTTAATTTTGAATTAGCAGTTTACAATTTGACTCCTAAAATCTTATTGTGAATAATATTTTCAGAGAGAAATATGGATAAATTTTAAGAAAGATAAAAAGTAATTTCAGATAGATAGAGAACAAAAAATTTAGGCCAAATCTTAGAGAGAGAAAAAGTGAAGAGAAATCAAAGATAGAAATGTTAATTTTTATAGAGAGAAAAGATAAAAAGAATTTCATAGAGAGATGGAGAAGAGAGAATTTTATGCTGCGTTTGGTTAGAGGGATGGAAAAATAGATGGAAGGGATAGGGGAAGGGATGGATGAGGTATCCTTAGGGAATGGAAGGTGTCTCTCCCACTTTTTGTTTGGTTGAATAGAATGAATAGTATAAATGATGGATGGGGTAACATATTTTTTTTATTTGGTTGGAAGGAAGGGAAATAGGATTTTTATATTCTTTTTACTAATATGCCCTCAGTATTTAAAAATTCTATATCTATCCTAAATTTTTAGAAAGATTAGAAATGAAAAATTGATATTTGTGTTAGTTATTATTTCTTTCCCTCTCCTCTTCCTCCCAATTTTGGGCGGATAGAGAAATACAGAGGAAGGAGGGATGAAGCATCCCTCCTTGCTTCCTCCCGCTTTTCCCTTCCCTCCAACCAAATATGAAAAAGTTAGTTTATCCCCCTTCTCATCCATCCCTCCTCAATCCTTCCTTCAAATCAAACATAGCATTAGAGAATTTCAGACAATAGAGAGAGAAAGTGAAGAGAATTTACAATAATAGAGAAAGACAATAGTTTCACACCTAAATTTTAGAAAGAAAATGAAGAGAATGACACATAGAGAGATATCGGTAAACTTTTAGTGAGAAAAAATTAATGAGATTTTTAGAAAGAGAAATATGGATTTCAAAGGGAGAGACGAGTGAATCTCAGGGAGAGAAGACGTGAGGGGTATAAAATAAAAATAAGATTTAATATTGAGATTATATTTGTCTTTATATTTGTTGAACAATTATTAATATATTTTTATCAAATTCAATACTTATTCGGGAAATAAATCTTCAATTTATTTATCACTGCTCTTTATTTTATCTTTCTAAATGCTTCCATCTCTCTTTTCAGTTTTCGTTACAAAATTTTATACCAAACACAACAATCCATTTCCTTTCCTTTTTTATTTTTTATTTTTATTATTATTATTTTTTAATATTTCCTTATTTTGTATATTACTCCGTAGTATATACTCAATTTATAAACAATACAAGTACTAGATGTATACGTTGTCCATCAGTTGACATTACAACTCGTCGACACCTCAAACCCAATCGAACCTATTCCCTCCAAATCTAGCTAGCTCTCAATCCAATAAACTCGCAATCTTTCTCCAAGATCCCATATACAGCCCACATTAGTTGGTAAATTCGAGCCAAATCAATGTCGATTGAAGACGACGAATCGTTCGAGCACACCCTATTGGTGGTTCGCGAAGTCACCGTGTACAAAATCCCACCTCGCTCCACAAGCGGTGGCTACAAATGCGCCGAGTGGCTCCAATCGGACAAGATCTGGTCCGGTCGCCTCCGGGTGGTGTCGTGCAGTGACCGGTGCGAGATCCGGCTGGAGGATCCCAACTCCGGCGACCTCTTCGCCGCGTGCTTCGTGAACCCGGGCCAGCGAGAGAGTTCGGTCGAGTCCGTGCTCGATTCGTCGAGGTACTTCGTGCTGAAGATCGAGGACGGGACGGGCAAGCACGCGTTCGTCGGGTTGGGTTTCGCGGAGCGGAACGAGGCGTTCGATTTCAATGTGGCGTTGTCGGATCACGAGAAGTATGTGAAGAGAGAGAGCGAGAAGGAGTCCGGCGAATCGGGCGACGAAGGTCACATCGATATTCATCCAGTACTGAATCAGAGATTGAAGGTAACCAAGCTTTACACTTTGTGTCATTGCCATTGATTAATTTTGGATTTAGTGCTTTGTTGGTGTTGATTTGGGACTTCATTTATGTTTATTAACTTGCTATTGTATGTAGTATATGTGTACGTGGACTGAGTTTGTTGATTTGATGTTAGTCATCAAGTATTGTATCTGTATTGAATCATAATATCCGTTGGTATAGTTTTCTATTTCTGAAATAGTATTCATTCTGTTTCTGGATCATACTAATTGGGACAAGTTGCTGTTTTTATTCTTATTTGGGATGGGATTGACTTTTTAGTATGAGGGTGGGCCTAAGGTTGCTCCATTGTGTTCTGGAGGTCACGGTTTCAAACCTAAAACATTCTCTCCATGCGGAGGCAAGGCTGGGTGCATTTGACCCTCCTCGGGCCCTGCAATGATGAGAGTTTTGTGCACTGGGTAGCACTTATATTGACTTTGCACTGGGGTAGCACTTATATTGACTTTTTAATTGTTTGGATTATAAGGTGAAACTATGCGGATAAATGTGAAGAAGAAATTGCTTTCTGTTTTTTGTTCTCATTTGGGATGGAACTGACTTTTTGATTATTTGGATGATAGGAAGGTGAAACTATCCGGATAAATGTGAAGAACAAAACATCTAGTGGAACTGGCATGCTTTCAGCTGCTGGGTTATCAGGGGGGCATTCTGGAACTGTAAAGTCTAAAACTCTGGGCCTCGCCCCACCACCTACTGGGGCTGGTAAAATCAGGACTCCCCTCCCTCCCCCACCCAATGATCCTGTTGCTAATCGGATGACTTCTGCCAGTCATGGTGTTGGTCTCAAGGAAAATGTGAGGCATTCTACTGGTCCTTTTTCAGATATATCTCAACTTGAGGTACCTACTGTCTCTCCTTTTTTGCAATTCTTGTTTAGGCAATTTACTTTACATGTTTTGATTTTAGTCTTGGTAAGTACTTAACATTAGAGAACGCCAAAGAGGGCCAATTGATGTACAAAAACCTTTATACCTTTATAAATCACAAAAGATTCTAAATTCTCTATACTCCAAAAAAGTGTCTAGGGAAGGATTCATCCTCCCAGTTAGGAATGGCAACGACAATGGAGCAGGTTTAGGATGGGATACCCGCCCCGTTTAACAATGCTTTGTCCCGTACTTGGCCTTAACTCGGGACAAGTTTGAACTTCTGATCCCATCCCCATTCATAAATAAGACTTACACCCTGTTCCCGCCTTTCTAGAAAGATAGAGAGATTTACATATATAGATGTATACATACACATAAAGACAAACCCCATATATTTATATACATATAGATATACAAAATAAATAAATAAATAAATGGCTAAAGTTAGAAGAGAGGAAATCATCGATCATAAAGAAATGAGATCACCGTTCATTTGCCAAACTTAGAAGAGAGGAGTTAAGGAATGCGAAGAAAGGGAGGTGGATGAGTTCAAGGAGTGGAAGTGAGAAAGGTAGAAGCCAGAGAGGAGAAAAGGCTTGTACAGCCAAAAAAATTAAATAAAGATGAAAAGTAAAAGAAGGATTGTACAGGCACTGGTGGTTTCACTATATAATCGAAATGCGGCGGGAAGGGATAGAATGCTCACATATATGGCGTACTCAACCCTGAACCTGTATAAAGTTCAAATTATTTAATTCAAATGCACCTGTCCCGTTGAATAGTTCGTCATACCCTTCCCATTGGGGCAAAGTGGGGTGAAAGCACATCAGTCGGACTAAATTGCCGCCCCTACTCCCAGTAACCCAACTAAACTGGATTTTTAAAGAAACACTCTTCGACTCATAAATAGGCTTGTACACTCCCTCAAAGACTGCTGATTTGTCTTCCAAGTGCTGCATCAAACAAAGAGGGACGATATTCCATGACTTCCTTTTCCTCCTTCCCACTCTTGTACATCCAAGAAGCAAATCACTGGCTTGAAAAATTCAATGAACTTCGAACAATGTCAATAATAAATACCAAGTAGTATTAACCACCCTATATCAAATGGTTTGAGTAACAGACTCGGCCTTCATTCATAAACAACACCAATTGTAATTGGTCAAGTGTCAACAGTCAAGTAGTCATTGTTTTGAACCTTCGCCCTCTCTGTGCTTTCTGCTAATTTACCCAAGCTGGAATTTTAATTTCTTCAACCATTCACTCTTGTAGCATCTCCTTTTAGTGAACTATATTTTTAGGTTGGTTTGAATTTGATTTGGATTATTGTTTTGAACCATGTAGTCTCCCTTAAGACCATTCAAGGAATCGATACATATGGACATGTTAGCTATCAGGATCCATATTATATGCTCCTGTCCTGTTTATTGAACCCCTACGCAGCATTCAAGATCTACATATTCTTCCTTGTTTAGAATTAATTATGAAGCCCATACGATTAATATTACTGGGGGAGCGTCCGTGCATGCTTGCATGTGGGTGAGTATGAACAAGTCTTTGCCTGAGTGAATTTGTGAACCTAATTTCCAAATACATGAAAGGTCCTGTTGTGATTGTATACAATTTTTCTTTATTTCAAGTGAATATATATATATATATAAAACGTCCATGTGCTTGTCAATGCAAGTTATGCAACCTTCTCTCTGTGAGTATCATACCAACAATATGTTAACTGCAATTTTGCTTGTTGGCATCTATAGAAAAACCTTCCGTCCACAGCTGGATCAGGATCAGGATCAGGATCAACCAAGACAAATGCAGCTGGATGGGCGGCATTTTGATTGTTCATTTGTGTGTTAATTATGATTGGGGTCTTCCTGTTATGTTAAGGGAAAAAAAATGAGAGACAGATTAGGGGAGAAAAGGAAGAAGAAGAAGAAGAAGATTATCAAGGCACCAGTATTCCATTTGTGGAAAATAATGTTCGCTAAAAATATGTTTGTTATACTCATTTTTACCCAATTGAATTTCAAATTTTCATTTCATTAATATAACACAGAAAATATTCGTTTTTCTTTTTTGGTTGGATATGCACCTCATTTTCATACTGATGATTTTAGGTTGGCTGACAGCTGATGCATGCATATTCGCATATTTTGTCATCACACGCAATTTTGTGTACTGTATGTGCGGTACTGCAGAAATTACGGAGTACTTGGAGTAAGCAAATGTACAATATTCCTATAATTATTGATCACGACAACTCATCTGTTTCTCCAATTTAATTATGGCACAAACTATCTGGAAATACTCATATAAATATGACAGACCATAGTGTTAGAGCCAGTTTTATGAAAAAAAAAAATTTGGTTTAATATTCTGAAAATTTAGTTATAAAAATATCTGTTTTCAGATAACTGTTTTTTTTATAGTTTTTTGAAAATAATTTTTTTGTTTAATAAATTAAAAATATATATTTTTAGAGTTACAAACCAAACAGTCCAATTTGTTGTATTATAGTTTTTATTTTATTTTTTTATCATGGAAAGGAGCTAACTCACCTACTTTTGTAGCTGTAAGGATTTCTCCACCTTTTATTTTGAAAGGGAGAAAAGTAACCATTAGATTTACACAACTTGGTAGTATTTTAGCTGGTTTTGTTATTGTGTCTAGCGTTTTTTTTGGTAACATGTCAAATAAATTAAAATTTTGAAATATGAAAAGTGGTTATGTTTAGAAATCCAAAATAGAGTTTTTGGTTTTTTATGAACATTTTTGTGTTTTAAACTCCTGTAATTACTTGTTTGATTGGTGGTTTGTTTAGAAAGTGTAAAATTGTTTATTTGTTGTATATTTAATATCAAGTTTTTCTGTTTTAGTCTAAGGTCTATAAGGAATACCTTATTAGTTAGTAATTTTTTTTTTTTTTTGGGTGGACCTTGGATGTTGTTCGGTTGATGTGCCGATTATGATATACACGTGGCTTGATTTGAATGGAGTGCGGAGACTAGTTGCGAAAGTTTGTGTACGCAGGGTTCTAAAATTATTGTGGAGTGTTTGAGAGAGTTGTAGAATTTCTTCAACATTGATATTTTTAGGGTTTGGTAGTATATAAGATGTTTATGTTGGAGAATTCTATAAGAGATACTTGTATTTCATTTTCCAAATATCATTTTTCACCAGGCAATGTAAAATAAAGTTGAAATTTAAGGAGACTGTATAGAGATATACCTCATGAAATAGTTATGAAAAATGCAAATATTTATATATATTTTTGTCAAAATAATATGTAAATATTCTAAAAGTAACCATTTACAACTTTGAAAAGCCAAAAATGATTGAGCTAATACAATTAAGTTATGAAATTATAAATCAATTCAATTTAAGTTTTTGTTTAGTCTTGATATGGGCTTTTGAAGAGGTGATTGTAATTGTTATTGTCCCGTTTTAACATTGCATTTTATCAACTAAATGATTTAACATTGCATTTTATATGTCTTGCCATTTTCTGGACTTTGACAAGAACGAGATGAGTATTAAGAACTTATCCAAAAAAGAAAGAAAGAGGTCAAGTAATAAGAAAATAAAAAATAAAAAATAATTTTTAATTTATTAAAATGGCTATGTACAAATGTTAAACAATAGTGTTCAAGTGCAAATTTGACGTTGCAAAAATATTGGGTGTGTCCGTTACATCATGCACGTTACAACCATCCATGTTATGTAGGGCTATAGCACTACGTGCAAGTATGGACGACTTCGATGTATTTAGTGTAAAATGCACTAGCCACATTGTATATTTTCTCCTATTTTTTTTTTTTTAGGTAAAGTATATTCTCTCCTATTGATTAACCTGATTAATGAAATTAGTGGTCCAAAATCAATTATTAATGTTGAGGGCGAAATTGCAACGGTTCGAATTTTGAAGTTAATGAAATTTGAAAATATAGCAGAAAGATGCCAGTGACGAAGAGATTGAAACAAAAGACTTGTCAGCAAATGTAAAAAGACTGTACCAAACTCAAGAGAATTAAAGACCAACATAACTGGCACAAGAATTCACGTGAGAGTATTATGAATAAATATTTGAAAAAAATAAAAAAATAAAAAAAAATGAAGATTTTTTTTTTGTCAAGATTTTTTTTTATGCATTTTGGGTGGACAGCAATGGAGCACATAGCTCATCAGAGTCTTGGACTTTAGTGACTTATTTAAACGGTGCCGTTTAATGCACCATAGGCCTTTCGCGCATTCAATTAGTTGGTACTGATAAAGGGTCCCCCAAAAAAGAAAAAACAAATCTTTTGGTAACTACGTGGCTGCACTCTTTTATTGACACGTGTCATAACGGCAGTGGTCAAAGTAGCTAACCAGCAAACTGAGAGACGACTATAAAATGACCGTCGAAAGAAGTAGTTGCAGTGTACTACCACCTTTGGTTCCAGAGTGGAGGAGAAGAAGAAGAAGAATGGAAGAGGAATCGCGGAACAGTGTTCGAGTGTGTGGTATGCAATTCGCATACGACGCCCAGTCACCGCTCTTCCTAGATTTCAACCTCCAGATCTCGCCTGGATCTCGATGCCTTCTCGTCGGTGCCAATGGATCTGGTAACAATATATCACGTTACATATATGTGTGTGTGTGACTGTGTGTATATATGTGTGCATTTATGACTGGTTTTGATTATATGATACTTTATTTTGTTTTTCTTTTCAATTGCTTGCCGATGAGCTCCACTTACATTGTGATTGTGGTGAAAAATCAATTTTGAGGGTTTGTTGTTGACATTACTTGTTGCTTTAAAATTTCAGTTATTAGCTTCGTCCAATTCTAAAAAAGCTATGTATATACGGTATTAACTAATTTATACCAAATGAAGGTAACTTATAAATCATTTAACGTGAATGATCTTTTCTCTTTTTAGCAAAAACATTATCAAATACAAAAAAGAAAAGCATGATCAATCATATATAGAATTAAAAGTTTTTATTTTGCTAGGGAATTTTAAAATTCCAAGATAATCATTTCTAAAATTAATTAGCTGACAAGAAGAAGAGCAGCAGCAAAATGATAAAAAGGAATAAGAAGTGGAGAGGGCAATTGTTATTCAATTCTCTTCTCCACATTTGATTGGATAATGATGGAATAAAAAGAAATTCGTATAGAAAAGATCCTGAAATGTGGATTATGGTGCAATAAGATAAATTGTTGGAGGCAAAATGGTGGTTCGGGGTCAATGCATAATAATGAAAGAAGTTGTAAGTTATGAAAGAATTTTGTAATTTGTAATTTGTAATTTGTTGTGGGTATTAAGAATTTTGCAGAAATGATTTATGTGTGTGTCTATATATATATATATTATAATAAGATGTGAACCAGTTGAGAGGGAGGTTAGTGAGGATACAATAAGACTTTTGGGAGGGATATATTCCGCTCTAGTAATTTAGGAAAACATTTGTGAGGATAAATGGATTACATTCTAGGGCTTTTCATAAATATTCATGAATATCAACAGACTGTTTCAACTCTTTTTCTCTTTTTCAAAATTTTTCTTTACTTGGTTTGTGGATTGGGGTTGCAGTTGTTGCTTCCACTTGCTTGCCTACAACAGCCAGTGTATGTATGCATGCCAATTGGTATATATCTTTATTCAATTTTTTTTTTTTTTTTCCCTCAAAAATTGATTCTTTTTCTTTTCTACCCCCTTTTTTAGTTCTAATGGAATAATTGATATTTTTGTAGAGACCAGAGAGAGGTGTATATTTCCAAGCCAAGTAACCTAGATTGTAAAGTTTCCTGGTAGTTGCACCAATTGAATGGATGGTGGGGTTGATGGGTTTTGTAGAAGGCCGCAACTATTCGTCTAGCCCATTGTCACCTTTGGACGTTTTCATTACCCAATGTACATCTTACCAACATAGTGTGCTATGAGGGAAGAATGGAGATATATTTAACCTTTGTTATTATTTTGCACAAGGTGGCTGTTTTCAAATTCTAACATGAGATCTCAGGCTTGTCAGTTCAAGTGTCTAGCATTCTCACAATAATAATAAGTAGAACGAAGAGATGTTTTCAATTTTTAGAATAAACTATGGGATATTGGAGAATTATATAGCGTTTATTGAATCATGTGGGTCAAAAACTACATGTGAAATTCTATGATGAACAATGAAGTAGAAATGTGAAACAACTAAGGCTATGGAACTTAAGATTTTTGTTTTTGGATGCAAAAAAAATATATTCGCTTGACTTTCAACTTCTTTGCGGGTTTGGAGGAATCTATTTTGGCCCGCGATGGTTATTATTCCCATTAAACTAGCATGATATAACATGGGCTTTAAAATTCAAACAACAAACTTGAGTAATGTTGGTTCTACTCAAGCTGGACAAATTTGCTGCACAGAACCAAACTTTATCTCCCAGTTTCTTGAAAACAGGAGACCATCTTTCTTACCACAGAACATGACATAACTTGGAAATTGGAACACAACATTCGAAAAAATTTGTTAGGAAACAAGTTTTACTTGGAAAGAGGAAAGATATTGGCTCTCACACTCATTAAAAGACTCGAATTTAGCTTTTTTAAAGAGTAAGTCACTGGTAATATTATTTTTTATTAGAAAACCTGTGAGAAGAGAATCCTCTGGTGGTTGCCTGGTCATATTTTGTGTTAAGTTTTTGTTTTCATATTTTCTCTTCATATGGTGTTACAATAATTTCTGTTTTGAAAATTCGGAAAAAAAGAAAGAAAAAGTAGGTTTTCTGGTAAATACATCCAAGTCTGTGATCAATCAGTTGTTCCTTCCAAGTTCTAGCTTTAAGGTCCATTCTGCTCTTCATATTGTTGCTAATAAGTTGCTTTAGCATGTTAACAAACTAAAAATGTGCATACTGCAAACCTACTGGAAAGTAGTCAAGTGAAGACCATCTGCTTGATATTAATTTTGTTAAATAAAAATACTGCTTCATGTTGTTATTTAACATTTTTGTCTGTACTGGGGTTTTAACAGCTGAGGGACAGAAGTCTCGTTTCTTTTCATCACTTTCATATTTCTCTTTACTCATATTCTATAGGGAAGACAACTTTGCTCAAGATTTTGGCGGGGAAGCACATGGTCGGTGGTAGAGATGTGGTGCGTGTGCTGAATTGTTCTGCTTTTCATGACACACACCTGGTTTGTAGTGGTGACTTATCTTATTTGGGAGGATCTTGGAGTAAAACTGTTGGCTCTGCGGTGAGTTCTTTACTTTGCTCATACTATAACTTATCAGAAGTTCTTCCTGGCAATATATAATATATTTGCTTAAATAGTACATGAAGGCTGGGAGTTGATGTGACTCTGAATAATCTACCATTTATAATCATTTCTTTGGGTGGTCAAATTTATGGAGCTCGACCCAAGATGTTTATGTAATGGAGTAGTTGTTCCAAAGCATGGATTGCTGTAGCAATTTGCAGATATGCATTGCATGGCATTTCGATACTTGCATAGTAATTTAATGGAAGCAAATAATACCAGAATAAAGATTTTTTTCCCCACTAGACCATTGTTTAATGTTAGCTAAACTCATGTTGTTCACCCCTTATATTTCTGACACTACTACCAAATCTAATTGATATAGATGCTTTGAGACAAATCTTAAGATCTATGCTACGGTTTTGGAGGTTAATGCCTACTTTTCTGAGGCTTAAACTCTGTTTTGAACCAATTTGCATATGAGGTGCAGGCCTCACTGCCACACATTAAACCGTGTCCTCTAACTGCTTTTGTGTTTTCTCTTCATCTCCCAAAAATGTAGATCATGATGGCCTACTGCATCATCTGACTGCCTTACATGAACTACTACTTGCAACTATTTTCCTAGTTTTGATGATTTCTTTGTGCATGCTATGTTTTTGTTTGATGGAGATGCTGTGTCATTCTCTCTATCTATGTCTGCGGCTTAGTTGAGCATTATATAAGTTGGAATATACAAGCTCAAACGATGCCGAGTATTACATTATTTATCATCCCTGCTATAAGTTCTTATGCCCTTAATCAAATAAAGTAGTTCTTACAAATGATGCCACTTTTATTTTTTCTTTTTCTTTTTCTTTTTCTTTTTCGTGAGTTACTTATAACAATCTAATTAGAGGTTTCTGGATGAATTCCGAGTTAATGTTTTTATGTTTTTCCAGGTTGCATGCATTACACATGTTTGTACAAACCAATTCTAAATTTCTCTGTATTTGTAAACATTCAGGGAGAAATTCCACTCCAAGGAGACTTCTCTGCCGAACACATGATATTTGGAGGTGGGCAAAACCTTATCAATATAGTCATTTATTAATTTATTTCTTTCCATTACAATTTTGTTGTTCTTTAAATTTTCCAAATTAAGAAGAGGAAATCAGGAATAAGCCCTCTACTCCCTTTGACCGGTACCCTCCGGCTCAGCAGCCGGTAGCCTGCCTGAATTTTCGAGTTTGTATGCCTTGTTGGACTTGGGTCATGCCCCTTATCTTTGATGATAATAATAATTCTATTCATTAAAGAACAAGTTAAGATTACTAGATATGGAACAACTGCCTTTCGTATTATTTGAGCTTCAAGACAATTCATTATCATGTCTCTTACTGTTTCTTCAGAATATATATACCTTCACTTGTTTAATCAAACTGAAACTTAAGGTTGACCACCGAACCTGGTTTCATTCCTTCTTGTGATCCAGTTGAAGGGACTGATCCTATTAGACGAGAGAAGTTGATTGAACTGCTCGATATTGATCTACAGTGGCGAATGCACAAGGTCTCTGATGGTCAGCGACGTCGAGTCCAAATCTGCATGGGTCTCCTTCATCCCTTTCAGGTCTATTTCCTTTTCTCTGTATTATAAATCTGTAAATGACAAATATGTGTTATTGCATGCTTGTTTTGGGATGCATGAATCTCAACCTAGGATATATATTAGATTTGGTGCAAATACAGCAAGTTATGCTTGATAAAGAAATCCAAATACCTAGGGTCCCAGAAATTCGATGACCTAAGTCTACCCTTTTCTTTTGCTCTATTTGTGAATTTTATTGTAGTACTAGTAATATGGTTCACAATTTTGGGGACAATAATTATCTGGTATTGGAATAATTCTCAATGCGGGTCGCTAATAACTTGGATAAATTAAAGATGAATTATGTGAGTAAGAAAAGCTACGAATGTTAAAAAAAATTAGAACACAAAATACATTCAACAAATATTTGGATAATTTGGGAATTTTAAAAAAATACAGGAATTATTTTTACATTCTTCACGTTTTTTTGAGAATTATTGAATTATATTGGACAAACTTAGGATTTCTTTCATTAAAATTTTGGAATTTTTTTGTGCATTCTTCATGCTTGGAAACAATTTGAGAAATATTGAATTATTTAGGACAAAGTTGGGATTTTCCTTCATTATTATTTTTGGATAAATTCAGCAGATTTTAGGATAGTCAGAGAAACTTGCTACTATGAGTCTATGATGCTGCACAGGAGGGGTTAATAAATTCACATAGAAATTTCAACTTGTAGCTTCCTTTTTGCAAGAAGTGACACAATCTGGAGTGCGATAAAATTCTCTGTGAATATGCACATGTTATGCTATTTTTCCATGCATGTGTGAGCATCCATGATGACGCACAAGCATATATGCGCACAAACACACACCATATACATATTGGGGTAAGCAAACACACCATGCAAGTTATGTCATTCATTTGTTTTTATTTGGTTATAGCTTCTTTTTTCTTTTTCTGTTTTTTCATTTGTGATCTTCCTTAAATACTTTAGCATTTAGATATTACACTGACCAAAACCAATTTTGTGTAGGTCCTTCTGCTAGATGAGGTTACAGTTGATCTAGATGTTGTTGCTAGGGTGGATTTGCTCGACTTCTTTAAGGAAGAATGTGAGCAGGTATGATTTGTTTCGTCTATTGTTACACATGCACATGAGGAAACCAGATCCCAAGCATGTCTTTGAGTCCCTGAAATGGGCTAAAATTGAACATGCATATTGGTGGTGGCCACACACATAAAATATCCCCACTTAGAGGCTTGCCTAGGGAATGAGCATCTTGGTCATGTTTTGACCTTCAACATCATGCACATGAAGAAACCAGATCCCAAGCATGTCTTTGAGTCCCTGAAATGCTAAAATTGGACATGCATATTGGTGGTGTCCACACTCGTAAAACATCCCCACTTAAAGGCTTGCCTAGGCCGTAGGGAATGAGCATCTTGGCCATGGGATGTTTTGACCTTCTTTGTAATTCAAAATCTCACCAATTTAAGTTGGAGAGTAATTCTATATATTAGGACATCCAAGTATCTTAGTTCGCTTCCATGTAGTCATCACAGGTGGGACGATCAAATTGGCTTGACCTTATTATAAAGAACATATTAGGCCTTTATCGACTCCAGATAGTCGGACTTTCAATTTGCATAGAAATGACCTTGATTTTTTTATTAGTTTTTTGTTTTAAACACTTGCAGAGAGGAGCTACAATTGTTTATGCAACCCATATTTTTGATGGGCTGGAGACATGGGCAACAGATCTGGCATACATTCAAGATGGTGAATTAAGAAAGGTTGAGAAGCTGTCCGAGATCAATGAGTTGAAGAACTCTGCCAACTTGCTTTCAGTGGTCGAGTCCTGGCTCCGTTCTGAAACAAAGCTTGAGAAAAAGAAACCCGCAAATCCTTCAACCCAAATGCGGAACCCTTCGCCCTTTGATTCTTCTCCATTTAGGTCATCCAGGCACATGGCATACTATCGTTGATCTGTCTCGATTCATTTATAAAGCTGAAATATCTGATTCATATCCTACCATACAATAAAAGAAATAAAGGGTGGCGGTGTTCGACTGGTCAGCCATTATTGCTTTGCCCTTATGGTACTCTTTATCAGAACGTTGGAGTTCTAAATTCTCTTTCCAACACACTGTAGAATTTAGGGTAGCAACTATTATTTACTTCTGACATTACTTCGTTTCATTTTGAGACCTTACAAACATGCCTGAAGTGTGTTTTGTTGTGATATGACAACATCAGAAAGTGTATTGTAATAGCTTCATTTTCATATCTTATTTTGACAATGTATTGAACTTGGAATGCTTCATTTTCCCTCTTGAGTTTGGTGAAGTAATTTGCATAATATGAGGGAGTATATTGTGCCGGTAGCATTATGACGGAGTGTCTGATCATTAACTGCTTTATTGATAGTCGATACTATACAAGAGCACTCTCCTTTGTTTGAAGGATGGTTGTTTCTATCCTCAGGGCTGCAAATGAATCTAGATGACTCGATCTCGAGACTCTTTCAAGCCAGGAGTTCATTTCAAGAGTCGAAATGAGGGCTGCAAATGAATCTAGTTGACTCGAGCTCGAGTCTCTTCAAGCTAGGGGTTCACTTCAAGACTCGGAACTTGGAACAGATCTGCACGGTGGGGGATTGAAGGTTTGATGCAATCTTATTTCCCACCTAGCTATGGAACAATATTAGTTTCTAATAATTTACTGATCGGAAAAAACAAGGTTTCATATGACAAGCGAAAGTTGTTCATTCTTAAGACAAAAACACAAAGGTGTCATGTAACCCTAATGAGGTATGAGTGGGAAGTCATGACTCATGAGGACAGACGAAAAAACATGAAGGACTGATTGAACTTTTTGGAAAATTTTAAGGTATTATAAAGCCCACCAACTCAAAAATATGGATAAGTATTATTTGGTCTTAGACTCTTCACTACGGCAAAATTACTTTACAATAAGTTCCATTATTAATTTTTTTTTCCCTTTGACCCTTAAAAAAAAAAAGAAAAAAAAAAGGGGCTACTTCTGGTTTCAAATTGGACTTTATAGTCCCATTCCTTGAAACATTGATCAATTGTCGTTACACAGTTATCATCCATTCGGGTGTGCTAATCTTGGTAGGGGCAATTTGGACTGTATAAATTTATTTTTAATTATTATTATTATTATTTTTTTTGGTAAGTGTAAAAAATAAAAAGTGCACAGTGCACAAGTTAGATTATCCGTATTAAAATGAAACCACTAAGAAAATCATATGAAAAGGGTATCCCTTTGAAATTTAGATCAAAATATTTTAAAATAAAATTATACATTGACGGACAATTTAATTTGGTCGAATAAAATAAAGATATATATATATATATATATATATATATATATATATTTATATAAAATTTTGGCTGGTTAGTGTATTTTTTTTTTTATAAATTAAATATAAAATTTTGGCATGTAACAGCTGTTGCTTAAGGATATAACTTTTCCATTCTCAAAGAGAGGGTTGCAGCCGAGGCAAGCAAAAAGTGTGTGAGTAGGGGTGTGGCCAAAAAGTGTATAATCGGAAGTGTGAGTATTTTTTTGCCAATATAAAAAAATAAAAAATAAAAAATATATATTTTAAATACTCCATATGCAACTGACCCCAAAAAACTTATGCTATTATACTCCTTCCGTTCCAAAATAGGTGTGAGTTATCATATACCCTTCCATCCCAAAATAAGTGTCCATGTTGAAAATTTGGGACAATATATGATAATTCATTTACATTATGAATTGATTCATGGATCAATAAAGAAGGGTATTATAGAGATTTTAGGTTCAATATTAAAGAAGGGTATTATAGAGATTTTAGGTTCAATATTAAAGAAGGGTATTATAGAGATTTTAGGTTCAAAATGTCAATTTTTAGTTGTGATAAATGGCAGAAGGTATTTGCATATTTTTGGAATAGTATTAGTGGGTTTTGAACAAAAATTAAATTTCAAGAGAATTTAATACAAAAATGAAAAAATACAGGAATTTTTTTTTTGCATTTTACCGTAGATTATAATATGAAATTGAGTGAATAAATTATAACCCTATTATAAATTTCAGAGGGAAAAAAAATTATAACCCTCCTATATATAATATATATTTTCCAAACAATTAGAAGCCTTTGATCAACGTAAAAAAAAATGAAGAAATGAAAAAATAAAAAATACATCAGGTCTCCGGAGAAAGACTTTTGATGTAGAGGGATACTTTCATTTAACTTTCGCGGAAGCTCCCTCTCCTATCTCTCTCTCTCTCTCTCTCTCTCTCTATATATATATATATATATATAACTCATATACATACATATACACGTATATAATTGTCAAGCTCTCAATATATTCACGAAATATACATCGTCTGCATAGCGCTATCCGATCAAACAAGATGAACATATTCGCTAAAAAGCCGACTGCCAAAGGTTCGTGCCCTAGATTTCTTCTTCAACATGGGTTTTTTGATCAACTCTTGGTGTATAATTCACATCGAAATTCCGATCTGTATTGTTCATATAATTCTGATTGCTCAATTCCGATTCCTGCTCTATCGATCAATTAAAATTTCTTATTAATTTTGGGTATGCGTTGACTTGTTTGTAAACGGAATCACAAACTCTGCTTAATTTTTAACTGAATTGTAATCTTCTTCTGTCTGATTACAGAAGCTCTTCGACAGAGTAAGAAAGAAATGGCTAATGCCACCAGAGGTACTCTAATTGTTGTTGTTGTTATTATTATTCTCACTATTTTACTGATTAAAATTTGAAGGTTTTAATTAACTAACTACATTGCTTAATGTTGATTGTGAATTTGTGAATGTTATTGTCTTTGAGAAACTTGAAGGTTTTATTAAATTTATGTTAAGGACGCTATATTATATTTATTTATTGATGTGCATTTATAAGTTGATGTAAGAGTAGTCATTGTCTTTTCCGTAGCTGAATTGCGGAGCTTTTAGATTTATTGAGTGCCATGGACAGGATTTTATAATTTTGTATATGAAATTATGTTGAACTTTCGTGCATTTGTGTGGGGGATTTTCAAGTGAGGAACTTATTGAAATAGACGGGCGAAATGTAACTGTATCGTGTAACTTATTGCAAAATTCGCACACAACAAAGCAATTATACGATCAGAAATAAGTTCAATAAACATTAAATTTCTTGAAAAAAATTCAATAAATTAAAGAAAGAGTATCTAACAATTCAATTTGAGAACGAATTGAATCCAAGAAAAAAATATATTTTATCGTCATTAAAAAAAGTCCTTATTTTGTTACTGGTGGGAAGAGGGATGGAGGGGGATTTCACGTTAATGGTGCGTCAGAATATATTCCAATGCAACCCCGATATTTGCTTCCAATAGTAAACCAAGGTTACTAAGATGCTTTTTATACAACAAGTTATCAGAAATCAGCAAGTCATCATGCATGGTAAAACAAGAGTGCAAGACTAATTTGATGGAATTATGTGGCTGTTGTTTTACATTCCTTATAAATTTTGTTTATTTCATTAGTATCTCATGGGTTGAAGAAATAAGAGATCAATACAAGTAATGACGTATAACCCGTGCTCACATTCTGTGATAATCTATCTTGTTTCATATTAGTATGCTAGCACTTTTATGCTGGGACAGTTCTAATTCTCATATAAATTATATTTTCTGGACTCTTACCTTGATTCAGGTGTCGAGAGGGAAATCACTGCATTGCAAGTAGAAGTATGTGAAGAGCTTCAAGATTTTGCTCCTGTTTTTAGTTTTTGGCGTTGGATCTAATATGTTTTATTATTGAGACAGGAAAAGAAGCTTGTTGCTGAGATAAAGAGAACTGCCAAAACAGGAAATGAGGTAATTTATTTTTTTCCTAGATTCGTAAATTGTTTGCATTGCATGGTTCTCTGAGGTAATTGTTTTGCTTTCTTATCTTTGTTTCTTTTCATATCTGAAGGCAGCAACTAAAATTTTAGCGCGTCAGCTAATCAGACTTAGACAACAAATAGCAAAATTACAAGGTAGTCGAGCTCAAATGAGAGGTATAGCAACTCACACACAGGTGAATTGTTAAAAACCCTCTCTTTCTTTTTTCAAATTTATTCTAGTTTACTTGCTCTAGTTCATTTTTGCATGGTTCTCTGAGCGAGGTTTATTCACTTTTGCAGGCAATGTCTGCCCAATCTTCAGTTGCTGTTGGCCTGACAGGTGCCAGTAAGGTGATGGGTTCTATGAATAAGGTAAGATAGTAAGATCTGAATAATTCCTTTTCCATTTATTTTGAACGTATAGAATTATATAATAAAATTTTCTATTACCAGATTGAACTTTATGCACAAGTGTTACCTTGAAAGGAGGATTGGCATGATGTTTCAATCTTTCTTATCTTGTGATTTAGTCGATCACCGTATAAAATGAAACATGAAATTGTAGTTCATTTATATTTTTTGTCCTAGTTTTTATGGTAATTGCCCTTCCATTTGCAGCAAATGGACCCTGCAAAGCAGGCAATGGTGATAAGAGAATTCCAAAAGCAATCAGCACAAATGGATATGAGCGTAAGCTTCTGCATTTTCCTTCGTATATATAAAATCATGCTTGCTTCTTGGATTCTATGGTTGTGGAACTCAGTTTGCTAGCACTGAAAAATGCAGACCGAGATGATGTCAGACGCCATAGATGATTCTTTGGATAATGATGAGGCTGAGGAGGAAACTGAAGAATTGACAAATCAGGTATATTGTTCGAACTATAATTTTTTTCAGTGAAAATTCTCTGAGGAGGTAGATGTTTTGTGTAGTTGAGATAGATGTTTGGTAAGATAAGAAAGGATAATATTAGGAACGAGTGCATCGGTGAGACGATTGAAGTTGCACCAAAAAGAGAAAATAGGTTAAGATGCTTTGGCCATGCGCAGTGACGTGCAATAACTATACCAGTAAGGAAGAGTGAGGTCGTTTATATTGAAGATAATGCTAAGGCAAGGGGAAGACCAAAACTAATATAGATTGAGATAGTAAGTGAATGGGTAAGGACGGGAACCTTAAGATGGGGGATGTAAAATTTTCTGGGTGGTAGTTTTAATTAATTTTTATTTCTCAAATATTCGAATTTAAATTAAAACTAAACATTAAATACCAATCAACTCATCATGCTAAACATGACAACCATTCAATCAAACGTAAATTAAAGGTATAAAACATGAACAATGGACACCAAAATTTTTACGTGGTAAACCCAAACAGGAAAAACCACATGACCTAGTCCAATCAATTAAAAAATCCACTATCAGAAAGAGATATTACACTAACTTAAAGTTCACATACCCCAGAATCCCTCGTTACCTCGTGAGACGGACTAATTCACCAAACTCACACATAGTCCCCAGGCACAGCACATAGTCCGCTCTGTTAATAGACTTCGTTTCTTATGAATCTGCTCCTTCAATAGCAATTACAGTATAATAGCTAGACTATAGACTAGTTGTCCACTCCAATCTCAGTTGACTGATTGTTTGTTAGTGTTGAATTCTTAAAATCGGCCCCACAACAGTTTTGATGTCAACACACTAATAGAACACTCATCAATCTAATAAAATTAATGAATGCTAAAAGAAGAAAAATGTATACGAATGTTCTCTAAATATGCTGCTAATTTCTCTGACTTGTGTATCTCTATGTATATTCTGTTTCCATTAGAATTTGTACAATGATGGTGTATCTCTATGCCCATGTTTTTGGAAAGTTTTTTTTTCCTGTCCAAAATGTGGTGGAAGATGGGAGGGAAAGAAAGAAAATTTACCCTACAAATATGTAATACCAATTTTAACCTTTATTTACTTACAAAACCACTTGTTAAACCCTACTGAAATTCTCTCACATGTGTAATAAGGGTATATTGGTAAAAAAAATACGTATAAAAACTCTCATTCCCTTTCTTCCAAACAAAAAAAAATGTGTCACCTCATCCATCCTTTCTACTATCCAGTCTGTCCCTTCCATTTAACCAAACAAAAAGTGAGGAAGACGTCTTCCCTACCCCCTCTCCTTTCCATCTATTTTTCCATCCCTCCAATCAAACGGAGCATAAGCTAAACGGAGCTAGAATTCCATCTTTGATGATGACCAAGAAGTAAATAACTCGATACTAACTAAGTTAAAAAATTCTAACTAAACTAATAATAAAACAAAAATATCAGACCCTAGTTATGATCCATGAAATATGTTAACCTAAGTCCTATTGATTTACAGTAAGTTAGGAAATATATGATAGCATCTATGTAACTATGTTACATGGATTTGGATACGTGTGTTGGGTATGGATATGTATCCATACGTCGAACGTGTCAAATCTCCAAACAGGACACTGCTAAATACTCATTTTATTTAATGATTTTATTTTATTTTCTAGAGTAAAGTAATTTTTTTTATGTAACGTAGCGTTCATTGTAGGCATTTAACTCATTTTAAAGTAATAATATAATGAAATTACTTATCAAAAATATATATATAATATAATGAAATTGAATGATTGGATATGCTTTTTAAGTACGTGTCCAACCAAAAGTGTCCGACACATATCCCATACCCTTGTCTGAGCAATACGTGTCTAACACGGGTACTTCAGTACTTTTGAAGAGTCCATGCAACACAAGATAGCATGTGTTTCATTGAGGCTATGACTCTAGATAAAACAAAATGACAAAACATCATTAATGTAGCTGAAAAGGCGTGGAGTTGAGAATGCATATAGCCATTTGAAAATTTGAGAAGTATGGTGTTAAAACTAGAAGGATTATGGAAGGGTATCTGTGTTTCCCAAACGTTCATACATTTCTAGATGAGGAAGTTTAAAGGTATAACCCATTACAGAAGTTATCTGACTGTTGGGTTTAAAAGCAAGGAACCAAAAATCTTTGTCTTCCCTGTTGGAATGGAATCGGCCTGTCACCAGGCATACTTGATCGTGTTATTGTATGTGGTATTTTTTATCCAATAAATCTACTTGTTTATTTTTCTTCTTTTTCTTTCCTTGGCAGGTGCTGGATGAAATTGGTGTTGATGTAGCTTCACAGGTCAGCATTTGCTGCAATACTTTTGTAGTCTGTTTTATCAGCTAACGTTATCTTTCTAGTTTTTAATAAGATCTTGAACTCTTGGCAGTTGTCAGCGGCTCCCAAAGGAAAAATTGCTGGGAAGAAGACCGAGGATGTTAGCAGGTATCTCAAGTTGCCTGCATTATTTCATCTCTCCTCCCCAACCCTCCAACTGATCTGACTTTTCAGTAGTTTTAATGAAAATACCACAGGAAGATTTTAAATAATTTTAGAAGACAAGTTAGTGGCAAGAACATTTACAACTACGGTTACTGAATCATATTGCAAATTTGCAATACATGAATTAAAATGCTTATTCAGAAGTAAGGTACATTATTGGGTAAAAATCAAAGCCCTGGACTGTGAGGGTGTTTGTTTACTAGTATGAGCGTGTATGAAACATGGTGATGGAATTGCTGCTATCTTAGATTTTATATAATCGAAGAAGTTAAAAGCTAAAAGCTGATTAATGATGCTGAATTATCATCATTTGCTGGGTCACTGTTAGATTGAATAGTCCAAGAATTAAAGCTGATTGAAAATTGCATGGGTTGGCCATTTTTTATTGAAATGGCGTGTTGAAGTTATTTTATGTGTCATTAGATTTACAATGCTGTGGTAGGGGTCATTCTCGATGCAAACGTAAAAGCTTAGGCTGACTAGTGTTAAAAACATAACTCGAGTTTTGGTACTAACCTGCAACCTGACATCTTGTCTAGGCCACTGCAAAAACCATTAATGCTTATAGTATCTCAAAATGCTATGATTCAAAGTTAAAGCCCAGTAGGTCTGAGCTTCAGAATCATTGAATGTTACTTGGTGTCTAAATTCTATTTCTGAAAAGGAAATGAATTGAAACTAAGAAAATCAATCTTTAACAGCATTCATTTTTATTCGTATTTCATGATTAAAGGAATTTTTTCATGATTAGGAAGCTTTGATATTTCTCTAATAAGTTCACTGTATGAACACACAAATAATGAGAAAATCTTGAAGCTTTGATATTTCCCCAATATACATAATTGGGCTTGTGGGAAGTTTGTACAATGTACATGTTTTTAGGAGTATAATATTTCGATCATTCATGCTGTTATTATAAGTGTTACATTTTTTATTATTTAATTTCATCAACAATCTAATATGCATTTTTCCATTTTTATTGTTTTCCTTTTGTTTCCTGTTCGACCATATAATTTTACTGTGCCTGCAGTTCGGGCATTGATGAGCTGGAGAAGAGGCTGGCAGCGCTCAGGAATCCATGAATTGGAGATTGGGAAACTGAGCTTGCTTCCCAAGTTGTTTATTAAAGTTCCTATTTACATTTAATATCTGTGTTCGAGGGTGTACATTGTACATATTTTCTTCATCTCTGTCATGCAGTTGCCCATTTAAGGGTGTCTGGTTTTTCATATCTCCAGACCATTACATTCAACGCGCTTAATCTATGTATTGTTCTCTAATACATCTATATTGTTCATCTTTGTGCTACTTACTAGTTTATAGTTTTCGAGTCAGTGGAGCATGATATGAACATCTTGGAAGACTTGTTTTTCGTCTCTCTCTCTCTGTGTGTATATATATATATATATATATATATATATATATGCACTACATCTTCTTGTTCGTTATGTGCTGTAGCTGTATCATCTCCCAAGGGGCATTACAAGGCAGTGCCTGCCCTTTGCGTAGCCGCGGACAGCCTTTTCTCATCAAAGTGAGGCCTTGCCTTCAAAAATGAGAGGTCAGGATAACGGTTGATGATTGAGGTGAGGGGCTTATCCCTCAATCGAGGGCTCGAGTCTCATACGGCCAGAGTTCTCCGATATAGTAACAGCTAATAATCGGAAGAAATGGGATGCGTGACAGCAGGAAACAACCTGTGGCTTGAAATAACTATTGTTAGGCTCTAGGGTCTCAAGTGGTAAGACACCTGACATTGATGTCTCATGTAGCATTAGATTTTGGGTTCGACTCCTTTTGGGCTCAACCAAATTCTAAGAAAAAAAAGGGGCTCTAGGGTAGGTAATTGCTGATGGTGAATTGATTCACAAAGCTAGCACTAAATGTGGGGAATGCATATCTTAAACGAAAAACTGTCGGTGGCCATATGGGCATTAGTGTGGAAAATATGCTCTAGGGTCTCAAGTGGTAAGACACCTGGCATTGATGTCTCATAAAGCATTAGATTTAGGGTGCGATTCTTATTGGGATAAACCAAATTCTGAGAAAAAAAAAAAAAGAAAAAAGAAAAAAAAAAAGGGTGGGGGGGTGGGGGTGGGCTCTAGGGTAGATAATTGCTGATGGTGAATTGATTAACAAAGGTAACACTAAATGTGGGGAATACATATCTTAAACGAAAAACTGTCGGTGAAAATAGTGGCACGGATTCAAATAGTAAAACTGAGAGGTTGCCTTTTCATAGCATTCCTTCACCAAAATGCAACTATTTCAGAAATTCACCACCACGGATGCTAAGAAAAGTCATGGTTTGCTTGATTTGTTAACTCTAAAATAGTTTTCAAGAACTCATTTTAAAAACAGGTCTTTTTATAACGAGTTTTCAGAAAACTGAACCAAACAGAATTTTTTGTACAATTTTCTATTTTCTGTTTTTTGAGAACAAAAAATTGTTCTCACAGTTGCAAACCATGCAAACCAAACAAGGCCTTGACTATAGAATGCAGCGTCTAAAGCAGAAGAGATCTGTCTTACTCCAAATATCTAGAAAATTGAAGTATCTAAATAAGCTCCAAATGTAATGCTTGTTACGTTGAAGAAATGGGAGTGTACTGTAGTACCCCAAATCAGAACAGAAAACATTGGTCACCCTTTATAGTATATAATACATAGTCCAACAGCATTCATTACAAGTACCTAGATCTCATACACACATGAAAATTCCGAACATAAGACTTATCTTCTTTGGCTGAGTCTAAAATACATTACAATTGCCACAACCTCTGAACAAGGAGACGAGAAATATACTTGTCAAAAGGTCATTGGACCCTTTAGCTGTGGTGCAAGAGAAGTGGTTTCGATAACACTTTCTTCACAAAACAGACTATTTTTCCACGTGACGAGTAATATATTTTTACCAGGCAGATCCAGGCCCCTTTACTTCCTCAGAGTGAGGAGATCGAAGCTGCGAAGAGGATCATCTCTTGTGCCCTTTGTGAGTGCAGTACGAGTAAAAGATGATTTGGCCTCAACTCCAGGTTGGGTTCTTTGTGCAGTAGACAAGCGGCCACTGCTTGAGAGTAATCGGCTTGAGCGCCCCTCAATGGGTTCACCAGATCCCGGTCTGCTGCCTGAGACGACAAGTCTTGAACGCCCCTCAATGGGCTCACCAGATCCTGGTCTGCTGCCTGAGATGACAAATCTTTTTGAGGAGCTTCCATTTCGAGAAATTCGGCTCTTTTCTGAATTAGGTTGCTGTTGATATGAGCAAGAGTCATTATACAATACGTTACAGTACAAATTCAATAAAACCAATGCATAATTTATCTTCAAAAATATATAATACCACGTCCTTGGATGAAGGTACATCCTCTGAAGTCCTTTGTCTGGAGTGATTTCTTCTTGAAAATACTTCAACAGCACCCGAGAATTTCTCTCGAATCTCTTGCCCCACTGGATTAAACAATTAAAATACAGGATCATTCAATGCTGAATTCACCAGAAGTAGAGACAATTTGTAAAAAAAGAAAAATCACCAAAAATTCATTCACCAAATAAGTAGAGACAAATTGTAAAAAATTTCCACCAGAAATCAAGTGCCCTAAAAAGCTGTCATAATAAACGATCTGTCAATGTTGGTTTGAGTTAGAGGAAAGATCGCTGCCTCCTAACCCATAACCAAAGCCCAGAACACGAATTCTTTTAATTTCAGCAAGTAGACTATACCAAGCAATTGAAAGGACAAAGCAATTACTATCTTCTAAACTTCTGCACTTACAAATCAGTAACCAGTACTCAGATATGGCACCTCTAACATATCTAGGTATGTAAATAGCAAATACCTGAGGTCCTTTCTGGTCTCTCTGCAGATGGTCCTGCCTCTAAACCTGCGTTCCCACTGGGATTCTACAAAAAAGGTGAACAGAGATAAATAACATTGTCAGCAGAACAGAAATACACGAGAAAAAAAGTAGTTACAAGCACTGACCCGTCCCTTAGAACTGGCACCAATCTGAGGATACTTCAATATAGTCCAATCAAATATATAGTCAAACTGATAACCTGCAGTAGTAACAATGCCAAATGTAGAAAATATAATCGTGTTCACTCTGAGTTACTCAAGAAAGTAAAAAAAAACAAAACTTTGGAGCATAACAAATTAGAACATAAAACTTATATGCCAAATAAAGAACAATTGTGTTCTTCAGTTACCTTCACGAATAAACAAATCTCGGAAAAGCCGTTTCAGATATGAATAATCTGGTTTGTCTTCAAATCGTAATGATCGACAATAGTGGAAGTATGATACGAACTCTGACGGATACGATTTGCAAAGCACCTGTTTAAAGTAATTGCATTTCAAGCAAACCCACATTTTGCTATATTACAACTATAGCAATGTAATCAATAAATTGAGTTTAGCCAGCCATTGAATCCGGGAGTTGTCCAAGCCCAAGCTGGAATAAGCCCAAACTCAGGCCAATATGTAGCAGTCCAGGATCAGGCCTAAAGAATAATTAGTTGAACTTGGATCCCGCCACATAAGGAAATCTTTAAATAAGTAGTAGTAAATGTCAGATTTAAGCATATTTATTATGTATTACTCAATATTTTGAGAAGGTAAGCCAAAATCTTATCATTAATCAAGAATCATTAGACCGGACTGCAACAAGCTTGAATTTCAACGAGTCCAAAACCAGTCCAAATGCTAAATAGCTCTAAAGCCCAAAAGCCGCCCTATGGGTCAACATGGCAAGTTCAGGCAAACCTATAAATTGGGATAAATGACTACCACAACCAGGTCAGAGCATCAACCTTAGATCTACCATTTCAACCTAGATTCCTATATGATATATACTCATGGAAAGGCATAAAATGTTATGCCTTATCATGAAAGGCAGTGATGCAGCCATGGAAGCGGCTGGAAGAATACCTCTATTGGAGTCAGCATCTTCTTTTCGCTGATCTTATCGTATTTCTGCTTTTTGGTGCCAGCTTTCAACCCCTGCCAGGGAAGACTAGCACAAAGAAACCATGTGCAGTTAATTAGGACATGCAAAAGTAATGTTGCATTTAAGATCTATCATAATGTAGAAAATGCCTAAATCAACTGAGGAATATTCAACCTTCCTCTTAGGAAATACACAAGCACGTAACCAAGTGATTCCAGATCATCCCTTCTGCTTTGTTCTGCCAGCAAAATAAGACACCATTAGACAGAACATAACATGTCATGGATCTGAATCGAGGCTATTTTCCATTATGCTGGTCACATACAATGACATGGCACTCACCAACTCCGGCATGTGTGTTAACACTAGCATAGCGAGCTGTGCCTGTGAGATTCTTGTTTTCTCTACCAAGAAAAAAATTGATAAGTTCCACAGAAAAAATATCAAAGGCTAACACTGTCAAGAAAAATAAAAATAAAAAATAAAAAATAAATAAAAAATGAAGTATTGGGTTAAAGGACTCTTGTAGGCAGTCCCAGCTACCTATGGGTACGATAAACATCAGGCTGATATCAAATTCAGAATTTAAATAACATTTCCCAGTTCCCCTTGGCACCAAAAAGAATAAAAATAAAAATAATTTAAAGTGAAAAAGAGGTTGAGTATGATATGATGTTATGATGCCTAATATATCTCTAACTTCACAACTTAGAGCCCCTTTGAAGATAGGGTTAAGACGACAACAAAATAGGTGAAGCCTCCATCAGAAATCCAATATTCTACTCCCAGATTTAGCACTCTTGCAGCTATATTTTAATTAATCATAATAACTTAGGATATGAGTTTTTTAGAATATTTAATATGGGTTGTTAGGCTCTGCATTCCACGAGAATATTTAATTTAGAAGCAATAAATAAGTAAGGTATTGGAGAGCAGCCTGTCAATATACAATGCCAATTTGGTAAATAATGACAAAATGACCTGTGCTAGAGGAAAATGCCAAACTAGCTACATTTACCATTTTGACAAGTATTTCCACAAGATAAAAATGAGCTTTAAGATATACTGAACAGATTAAATTGCAACTGTAGCTTGCAAGGTAATACAGTGTAGTTACCTGTAAGGTATGTGCTTATGGGTTTGAAGATCCCTATATTTCTTTGCAAGACCAAAGTCGATGGCGTATACCTGTAATAAAGAATTAGAAGCGTTGAAAATCACATTTCAACAATCTCTTATCCATAAAATCATGCAACTATGTTTTATATATGTCTATATATACAGGAACATTAACCAGTTTAGATCCCACCACAACATGATCTTGGGGAGGGAGAACTCTGCAACTATGTTACATGGACTCAGGTACGTGTGTTGGACACGAGTATGTATCCATGTGTCGGAAGGGTCAAATCTCCAAACAGAAGGACACATGGACACGGCTAAATATTCATTTTATTAATTATTTTATTTTATTTTCTAGAGTAAAGTAATGTATTTACCTAATATAATGTTCAATATAGGCATTTAACTCATTTTAAAGTAATAATATAACATAATTGAATGATTGAATATGCTTTTTAAGTACATGTCCAACCAAAAGTGTCGGACACATATCCATACCCATGTCCGAGCAATATGTGTCTGACACGGGTACTTCACTACTTTTGAGGAGTCCAAGTAACATAGCTCTGCAAAGACCCAAATATTTTACAAAGTCGCTGCAGTGAGGCTAGAACTCACACCAATGAAAATGATGTTCATTCGTTTAACTGTTGAACTAGACAAAGGAAACAGCTTTTATGTCCATACATATATATACACGCATGAATGTAAAAGAGTTCTCATCCCGTAACCAATTTAAAGGCTTTACTTCAAATTATTCACTGTAAATCATGTCACACAGCAAACTTCCAAATGCTACCACACATAGCGACAATGTGATGCAGCAAACTTCCAAATGCTACCACACATGAGGCAATGTGACCTAGCAAAACCACACACATGCACACACACCAATAAATTTGTCCGCCATGTGAAGTGCATGTGACCCAATTTTGATTCTTTTTTAACAGAACGGTGACGGCAAGCAGTTATTTACAATTTTTTGATGAACTTCAAGGGGTTTTGTGCCCAAAATAATAGTGTAAAGGAGTTATTTGCAAAAAGGTAAAAGTTCAGGGTTCTTTATTTTCCTCATTTTGCCTAATATAAAAATCAATACTTGATAATCATCAAGCAAGTACATGTAATACAAATTGCTACATTCAGTACAGCACAACATGGAACAATTACCTGATTAGCTTTGCGTCCTAGGCCCATCAAAAAGTTGTCAGGCTTTATATCACGGTGAAGAAAACCTCTCGAGTGCATGTATTCAACCCTGTTAATCTGAAAAGATAACAATAGGATCATTACTCGGATGGATGCTCAAGGTACATTCATTGATTGAGAGTAGTCCAAAATACTTACTAATTGATCTGCAAGCATTAATACTGTTTTTAATGTGAGCTTCCTATTGCAATAGTTGAATAAGTCTTCCAGGCTTGGTCCAAGAAGATCAATAACCATGACATTGTACTCGCCCTCAGCTCCAAACCATTTGAGATTGGGAATTCCCGCTTCATCAAAGAAAATCAAATTGATTTAAGCCCAGATCTACTAGGAGATTCGTAATGCAAAAGAAGTGGTTTGTTGTAATTAATGGAAGAACCATCCACTTTCTCTTGTTCCTGTTCATAACTCCTCCTTGGACTCGTTCATTTAGTCACTTGACCATTCATACTTAATGACGAATTCATTTGTTGGTCCTAAACTGTTCTCGAGCCTACTAAGCCCAAGCCTTCTTTCTGACTTCTAAAACGGGGAATGAAGATCACACACAAGTCTATTGATGTGCTCCTATCTGCATTCCTAACAGCCACAACCCCTCCTAATACAGCCCTTGTGCATGTATCATTTTGTATTCCCCGTTGACCTGGCCGGCCAAATCACTGATTTGTTCAGAATGAGCAAAGCATCAGCTCCAACTTAGCACGAAATGAAGTGCACTACAGCCACAACATATTGGTCAAAAAATACAAGTGACTTGACTTTTTGATGACATCAGTATTTTTTTCTTGGACTTTCTTTTAGTTGAAAATATAATTGAAAGAGATCGAAGAAACAAGAAAGGGAAGGACAGGTTCCCCACCTACGGGAAATTAAATATATTAAATTTTGAGTAGATTTAAGATATACAATCAAGTATTATGAACACATAAAATTAAAGTTGAAGACAGATTGTTTGAGAAGTTTAGTCCGACAAAGCAAACACTTTGAGAAAGTGTTCCCACATCATAGTCTCTCCCAGTAGCAACTTTATTGCTGACTGTGATAAGACCACCCTATTATCAGTCAAAATTGCCCTACTACAACTTGTGCACCACCTTATCCTAAATCTAAAGTATAATATGAATGAGAGAGAGAGAGAGAGAGAGACTTACTTCCCCCTTGGAGAAGCATATAAATTTTCGACTCATAGTAAAGTTGAGGATGCTTGGTCTTAACAGATTCCTGGAGGTTGCAGTTACAAGAAAAATAAGGTCAAACGGTAATATGAAGTACTGCAATATATAAATGCCTAAACAAACAAAACCTAGTTCTGCATCCATCATTTCTTATTTTTCCATTAAGACATAGCTAGGAAAGAATGATATAACATTTTCAAGAAAATGCAAGTGGCATAGGCTTCAACGGTATTGGTATAACATATGAAGCCCTGTCAAAACCTTAAGTGCCATTTATTATGTCACTAAGGGTCCCCATTGAGGAACAATGCTACTAACATAATGAAAAGAAAGGTTTAAGTCAATCAAACATCATGGAGGCAAATATGGTTACATACTCGAATATTGATATATAGCATCAATTTCCTGAAAGGTCATAAAGCAAATGCCATGAGTAGACATAGCTGGATTTGTATTACATGATCGGAATAGAATCATTTTCTTGAAGAGATTTCCAAATCAAAGTAAACACACATGCAATAGTAACAAAAGGAAGCAAGTATAAAAGCAAGCATTGAAAATCCTATCAATTTTGTCTTTCCTTTTTTTTTTTGGAAACAATCAAGGACAATCATCGTGCATAATAACTTAACACAGCCATATAAAGTATAGAATGTTCAGGTCACATAAAAAATCAACATCACCCAAATATATATAAACACTCAACAAAGTTGAACAACATTCAATTCAAAAACCAGTAAACCACATCAATATCTCAAATCATTTATTCAACAATGAGGGAGAGCACTATACCATCTTGATAGCCACTTCCTCTCCACTTTGTACATTAACACCTGAATCAATAAAAAAATTTACATAAATATATATATATATATATATATATATATATATCAAATTTATTTTATAAGTATCTTATAAACCAAGAAATGCGACTAAAGAATCGTGGTCAAACCTAAATAGAGCTCTCCAAAAGACCCACTCCCTATTTTCCTCCCCTGCTTAAACTTCCCACCAATAACATGATCCATGATAAAAATACTTCTTCAATAAAGTTTCCACCAGAAAATCTACTGCGACGAGCTACTTCAACTCATTTCAGCATTTATTAGTGTCCAAAAACCAAATCCAGCAAATAATTAACCCAAAAAATCAAAATCCATCAAATATGACAAACTAACACGCCAATCGATTAAAAAATTTTCTTGGGGCTTCAATTATATTTCCAAAGATACCCGTCAACTATCACAGTATATGCACTACACAGTGTATGTAATATCATAACCCCAAGAAACAAAAATTAGGATTCAATCAACCTAACTCTTCCCAAACGCCGCCCCAAAACAAGCATAAATATTTTATTCACAATCATAAACCACCTTTTATAGCTACGTCTTTTTACAACACAATCAAAACCCTAAATTCAAAGCATCGTCGAACCTCATTGATCAGGAAAACACTGATATCTGCCCTATACATATAAATATAAATATATATGGACTGATTGCAATAAAAGTATCAAACAATGATGATTGGGGGACAAACGAGCGAAGATTGAGAAAGATAAAGACGAAAGTGTTGTGAAAAAACAATCTGTTGTGTTTGTGGAAAGTTACGTGATGAGAGAGAGAATTGGTTAAATAAGTATGGAAAAGAAGAAGATGCTATGCATATGCTAGAGAGAGAGACAGATGGTAAAAGGAAAATAGGTGGTGGCGATTTGCTTTTGCGTTTTGTTTGTTTCTGTTTTAACGCTTTTTTATAATTATATCATATGTGCGTGTGATTTGTTGGTGTTTTTTATTTTTATTTTTTAGAAAAAAATAAATAAAAAACTTTTTGAGAAGACCAAAAAAAAAAAAGTTTGCCAATATAATCGATGAGTGGATTGTTATTTTAACCCCTTTGATTGTTTTTCAACTTAAAAGAGTTTTTATTTAAAAAAATTACACTTTTATTTTAAAAAAGAAAAATATCTTAGTATGCAATAGAGATCCGGAATCTATCACGTGCCTTAAAATTAAGGTATAATGGCAATTTCTTAAAACTATAAAATTAAGGTATAATGGCAATTACTTAAAACTAATTAAGGTGGTATTTGTCCATTTCTTTAAAAAGCCTATTTTTATTTTTGGAATATTAATTAGTATTCAAAATAAATCAACTTTATAAAAACTAATTGAAAAAAATTAAAAGATTTTCAATAAAGAAGAACAATGTGTGAAAAAATTAATCCACACTTTTTATATAGATCGTTAAATTAAATCTAATGGTCATTTTTCAAACTCACCTTCATCCTTTCCTTTTTACACAAAATCATTCTCATCCTATTTTTTGTTTCTATATTTAATTTTACCATTACTACTTACGGTAACAATAAAAGGTAATTACCAAAATAAAAATAGAAACATTTGAAAAAAAAAAATAATACCAGTATATATTACTAAAATTTTGTTTTTCTTTCAATTTTTGCAACAACAGTATGATATTAGAGTCTTTTCTTGAGAAATAATAGTAATTACCGAAAAATATACTATAATGTTGTTTTCTCTAGTATAATAGTATGTGGTTTTTTTTGCATTTGCACATTCTAAAATTCAAATAAATATATTTCTTAGCTTAAGTAAATTTACCAACAAATATATTATAATGTTGCATTTTGGAATATCGAATTGATACATTGGAATTGAAATTGGAGAAATTTTTATTTAAAGTTTAAACAAAATTTCTTTCTATTTCAATTTTAAGACGTCTCAATTTTCCCAAATTGGCTTAACTAGATTTTGAGGAGTGGCGTTTGATACAAATTCTCTTGTTGAATTTTTTGACACTTATTTTCAAAGATATAAAACAAATTATGTCTCTTTATCCTTCCCAAGTGAATCATCTAAGACTTGTGTTATTCTTTTTTGTTTGACAGAAACGTAAAAAATAGAGGTGAAATGAGCCACAAAGATATTTCTTTCAAATAAACAACTAAAAAAACAAAATTTTAGTAATATATACTGGTATTATATAGATATATATATATATATATATATATATATATATATATTTAGGATAAAGTACGGCCACACCCCCTGAGGTTTAGCAAAAGGACACACAGATGAAAGTTACTCATTTTTTTGGACAATAACACCCCTTCAAGTTTGAAAAATGGACAAAGAGACCCTAATAATGATGAATTGACTTTATTACCCTTTAATATAAAATTGATATTTTAATTAACTTAAATACCCTTCAATCAATCCCAAACCCAAACCCAAACCCTCTCTCTTTGTATGTATGTATGTATGTATGTCTGTATGTATACACACACTACATAATCCCCGCCAGACGAATCCTTCAGCCGCCGCCGCCATCATCATCCCCAATTCACCGCTTCTTCACAACCGAGCTCACCGCCACAGTTCCTCATCACAACCGAGTCCGCCGTCGCTATTGCTGCCATCACGCGGTGAATAACCGAGAAGCTCATAGCCGAGCTTCTTCTTTCTCGTCGGTGCCGCGCCGGTGTTCTCTTCGTTTAACCGGACAAATTTAACGGTGACCTGTTGTTCTCTCTTCCGAATCACCTTCGCCGTTGTTCTCTCCGTTTCTTCCGTCCTTGTCCACTGGCACCGACCGTCGCATCATACGACGATCACCCAACCCTCTCAGATTCGCCTCCCAACACCCGATCTCTTCGATTCACCTCCCAACCCTCTCTGACTGGATCTCTTCGTTGTCCAAATTACAACACCAAAACATGAAAAATCTCAAATTATAACTCTTCCACAAGCATTACTCTGCCCAGAAAATGAATGTTTAACTTGTATGGAACCACCCATCTCTCATCATCTCTCTCGTCAATTCTGGATTCTTATAGTACCTAACAAAGGCAGTTTTCCCTCTGATTCATATCTCACCTCGCGGAGGATCTCCAAGTGGATTGTAACCCATACCTGGAACCTTTTCTAGATGCAACTTGCTATAAACAAATACAGAACCAACAGTTCCAATCATGGACATTTCATCCGGAAAGCCAAGAGTGGTCAGACCACAAGTTTCTGTCACCCTTGAATAAGGAATTGCACAATCAGTTTCTGTATAAAAGAAGTTCAATTGACATCAAATTTTGCCTTAGGAATGCATTAATCCCTTAAACCTTAACAGAAAGTCTTAAATTTCTAAGCAAAAACAAGTGGATGTACCTACTAGAAGGGGTATATTTAAATTTTTAACCGGTGACCTACTCTTCTCTCTTCCGAATCACCTTCGCCAGTGTTTTTTCCGTTTCTTCCGTCCTTGTCCACCGGCACCGACCGTCGCATCATACTTCGATTCACCTCCCAACCCTCTCTGACTAGATCTCTTCGTTGTGTGGGAGGTGTGCGGCGTCGTCGTCTCTCCAAGAACAACAACCCACCTCCAAGAAACTAAACCTCCAACCACCCTCCTCTACCTCAGCCGCCACTAACAACGGCTGCGGCAACCAATTTCACGGCTTTACCAGGCACCAACGTTTTCTCCGTGTGTGTATATATATGTACGTATGTATATATAAGGGGCTAGAGCGTCATTTTGTAAGGTCTGATATTTTGTAATATATTTGAATTTAATATTGAGGGGTAATTTTGTCTTTTCATATGACTAAGGCCTTGTTTGGACGGAATTTCAGAAGAGGGGGTGTCATTGTCCAAAATGAGTAACTTTCATCTATCTGTTCTTTTGCCATACCTCAGGGATGTGACTGTACTTTACCCATATATATATATATATGTTTTGATTCACGAATCTATTTGCGTAGATATATTAGTTATTGTTCAAATTAGATTTATATATGTTGAGGGTGAAATTCACGCGATCCGATACGACACCGTTTTCCTGCAAGGAAGAGAGGAGAAGATCGATGAACTTTGACGGCACCGGTGTGGTGCCTACTAAAAGCTCTCGGACGATCAAGTTAGTCACCAGAGGTCTAAAAAGAAGGCAGAAATTTAATAATAGTTTTTTCGTTGTACCTTATTCCCGAGTCGTCGTCCTATTTATCATCGTTTCCCTTATTCTAGATAAGGGAATTTCATCATCCTCATCCCATGGGACTTATCCCATGGACATCTTATCCTTGATAAGATTTGTCATCATTCCCATGGAAATCTGATCCTGCATAAGATTTGTCATCATTCTTATCCATGGATATCGTTACCTCTAATAATAAAATATTATCGTTGATTGTGATACCCTCGAATTTCCGAATGCGGGTTGGCTAGGCCCACGCCCGATTACCCGAGGATATCAAACAAATTAGTAATAAATGAATACAAAATACAGATAAGATAAACAAGAATAAATAAAACTGCTGAAAAAAAACTAGAATGATAATCCAAAACTGAAAACCTCAAAATAAAATTTTATAAATAAAGTAATAATCTGATACATCAAACTTTTCCAATTCCAATACAACTTGGAAATCCATCTGGTGGACCCCTAATCAAAACCAACACTGGAAAGCGAACAATTAAAAAGAAGTCCACTGCTAAACCATGAAGAAACCTCCTACGTTGTTGGTAGAATGAGTAGTCGTCTCTACTCAGCACGAACAAGCTCTAAGACCTGGAACCGTCCGTTACCTGAAAATAATAGTGGGTCAGGCCAAACAAAGACCCGATACACAGATACATCCTAGATGTCCCAACCATATTTATATAGTCCGTAATAGATAAATATATATCCACACTACAGGACTCTCACTAAACTATGATGAGGGTCTCAACCTGAATAGACGGTAACATGCAATACCCACCTGAGTGGGCATGACTACCTAAGCCTAACAGGGTATACCTCAACCAACATAGCTAGTTACGTATCCTACTGCATATACGCACCCTAACCGTCGATTATGAGACTCAAGCTCAGATCGCGGTACCATAATAATATATATAAAATTCGTTCACATTCATCCATAAGAAATTCAGTAAGTCGTTCGGCGTATTCAACCGCACCGACTCATATATATAAAGAGGATTTTTTTTTAACAACCCGTACCCTTATTCCAAAATAGGTAGGACTGAGTATTTCGAATCAGTCTGTCCCTAGTATGCCACCGTCTCATACCGGTGCATACAATCCACAAAATTCATATAATTGATTGAACGGGTAAAACTGTTCACCAATTAAAATCCATAAGGTAGGAATTAGCGTTTTGAGCTAAACCATACCTAGTATGTCACCATCCCATACCGGTGCATACAATCTTCCATATCCATGTAAATTACAACATATAAATAATAAGCATGTAGTTTACAGTCCAAAACCAAATATCCAAATAATTGCAGAAACATATTTAAAGTTTCAGCAATTTAAATCCAAGAGTTAAACTATATAGTTGCAGGAAACAATTAATAATTCAGCAACTACCATCCAGAGCATGCATAGATCAAATCTAATACATCAATGACTCTATTATGCATTTAAAATAAATTCTATAATCACATTCTAGTCCAATAAATCGGTATATTAATTTAAGCAATTTAATTCCTTCCATTCGGTAACAGCGTACTAAGTTGTATACTTGTATTATGTCTTATCTTTTAGCACAGAGCCATGCACTATGCCCCAAGTCCAATTTATTAATTTAAAAAACTTCACTGTGCTTTTAATCTTAATTTAGAATCATTATATAGCACCCTAAATTGTCAAATTAAAACTAGACAATAAACTTCCTTCCAGCCGTTAACCGCATG